ATATATATATATATATATATATATATATATATATATATATATATATATATATATATATATATACATACACACACACACACACATATAACATTCCAAATATAGTTTTGTTTCAGCGTGTCTCTCTCTCTTAAGCGTAAATTTTAAGATAATTTTATAATAGTCGGCGAAACACGCGTATAACGCATCGCGCGAGCGCGAGTTCTCTGCAAAGTGAAAAATGCGCCACTACAATGCAATTTATCAGTAGTAATAATACGACAATAATGGAGTGCACGTACATTCGCCATTTTACACGCGGGTATAGAACAGTCAGTGACACGGGTAACAGCTATGTCTCTTCCAAATGGCTAGTGCACCTTATTTTGCGACGTTAAACTTTAGCGAGAAAAAGTCTACGTTGACAATATGGCCGGTTAAAAAGCAATAGTATAATAATAATAACTGTAATAACAATAATGTTAATAGTAAAGATATTAACGATACGATATAATATATAATGTGACATCATAAACATGCTATAATCACGACGCATCAGATAACTTTCAAAATAATTTCGTACGGATATGACTCGAAACGGAATACAAATGCTTTCATTCCGACTATTGTCACCTGGTGTGATTGTCATCAAAAAATTCGTATATGACAAGTGCACGTTAAATAAAATTTATAAACTTAAGAAAATTCTCTACAAGGAAGAATCGAACCAACATCATTCAAAACGTACTTGATTCTATACTTGATTGTAAGCTTTTTACAAGCAAAATATAAAATGAATTTGTGATTTTTTAAAATACCATTGGATTTTAATAAAGGTATGTGATAAATACGGTTTTGTTGCAACCACAAAGCTTCACAACACATAGGTCGGTATTCATAGTCTGTTCTTGTATTTAAAATTATTTTAAGATTGTATCTAAGATCAGACTATGAACATAGTTTATAATATTTTTTGTAAAAAGACGTATTTTAATTTATAATTATAATTAAATTTAAAGAATGTTTTAATTCTAATTATATATAAAAAAAAGACATTTTAATAAATCATATACATTTTACCGCTGTAATTACGACAGAAAGATACAGATATATTTTCTATTTTTGTATGAAAAAACTTAAGAAACTTTTAGCGTTTTAGTATAAGATAGAGAAATATATCAGATATATAGTTATCAGAAATAGGATTGTTATTACTGATAATGACATGTTATACACTGGTAAATTATGGAATATTATACAGTGTAAAACATATCTGAAGAAGAAAACGTATCTTAGAATATTTTAATAATTTTTAGTCGTGGGTTGTGAAGTAGATATTACCATTTCTTGTTATATGGCTCTTTCTGCACATTGTTTACAGTTCATATGTGACTGAGACCGTATATATAATGTAAATAAAAAAATATTAAATATGTAAATAAAATTTTTACTTATTACTTATACGTAAAATACGATTATTTGTAAAGTAAAGGGTCATATCATGTTAATTTATAAGATAATAAATTTTGTTTGATATTATCATATACATTGTATTCCATTATCAATCAACCATATTAAAACTGTACTTGTCAATGCTTACATATATAATAATTACTGTATGCAAAATAGAATTTTTTTCATATATTATGTTTCTCAATTGAGCTCATAATCTGTTCGCTTACGTTTTTTAAGATTCATGGCACTTTGTGAAGTTTCAATAACGTTCGAACCTTTCTTTAGCCATTCATCCAATTGTTGCTTGGCTTTCTTTCCCGTGATAAATAGTTCTCTTTCTAATCTGGGTAGTAAATTGTTGAGTGTGGGGTCGGAAATAGGATTCTGTGCCCAATCCATGACTAGTCTAAATCGTGATCTAAAGGTCTGAAAGTTATATAGCACAATTATACATGTGAGCAATGTGAATTTTGTTGATCTAATTCAAAAGCTAATTCAACACTCACCAACAGTAAACTGTCAATAATCATTTCGCAATCACGATTATTGAATTTCTTTAAGTACATTCCTAATTCATAATAATATGGATTCCATTTATTCAGTACAACAGTACATGCATCTGCTAATAAGATTTCCCTATAATATACAGAAAGAGGTAGAACAAGAGAGAGTTATTAAAAAGATTATTTCAAGCTTTCCACAAATTCCTTATATGGTACGTACCTGTAGCCTTCTTTGTATGTTTTTGGTATATCTATACTGACTACAGGTTCTCTTGAGATATTCAGTGGTTGTGCCAACCACAACGGAAGCTCTAATTTTGTACCTAGTTTTAGATCCTCTGATTCAGAAGAAAGATCTAGGAAACCTAATTGTATATCATATAATTTATTAACTAATCGATTAAAAGCAGAATATAATAGATTCTATATAAGGCAAATACAAATGTTATATGTATTTGATGTGTTATATGTATTAAATTATCCTTGGTTGATAAATAGTGCAGATTTTAGTGATTAATACTCAAAAATGTTAACTATTATAATTACAACACAGAAAAATGGCAAATAAATGTATAATATGGGAATCCTTTCCTCAAATGGAAGAAAATACGTTTTTTCATTTAGTACTATTCATTGCTCTATAATTTTATCAAAGATGTATAAATCCCATTTAATATCCTAAAATAAAAAAACGCATTCTAAAATGTATGATTACCCGCGCAAACTTACCTAAACGTGGCAACGTAACCTCTATTTTGCATGACAATCGTTCCTCCGTACACAAGATATCCGTCAAAGAAAAATAATCTGGCATGTAACTGTACGATAACGTTGCCATTTTCTTTTCTCCTTTTCTTTTTGCACTGTAAGTTCTTTTCAACAACGTTTGAATATTTTTAAATAAGTGGGTGCGCACATATTTCCAACGTTAACACAACTGATCATCAAGTGGTACAACTCAGGTTCACTATTTTTTTTTGTTCCGAGTTGAATTTATACCGTTTCTTCAAATTTAAATAAATTAATAGTGTAACGAGACTGTAACTGTATAGAACGCGATATTACCGCGGTAGTAAAACGATTATATCGATTGTATCGATCGATTACGGATTTGATACGAACTCGAATCGAGTTAAAGAAATTGAAATCGTTTTTGAAAATATCACGCTAGGCAGTCTTTTTTTATTAAAGTGATTAATGATATTTATACATCTTTTTATTTGAACTGAGGAAATTAAATAAACCATAATAAATTATGTATATAAATTGTATAAAAATATTTTCAAACTTTTTATTTTCAAATAAAAAAGTGACGTGTATAATGGTGGTTCGTAGCGGAAACTTTGGAACTAATTTTATAAAAATAATCTAATAATCGCATTGATTTAGACCTGTTATTTTTTTTAAATTATGTCCGTAGTATAGGCCTTACGTAGTCAGGCCTTATATATAAGGCCTCCTTAAGTTCATCTTTAGATGTTCTATAGCCAATAAAATGATTCTTAGAGCATTTCAAGATAAATTTAAGGAGTCTTTAAATGTAAGGCCTGACTATGAATACAGGCATTAAACTCAGATCAAGGCCCAATTTTTTTTTTCTTTTCTCTGGATTGGTATATATTCCTGTGTCATGCAGGACCTTTCACCATTTTCAAAACTCAAGGCCCAATCGACGATCGTATCGAGCCTAAAAGTCGTTCTACATTAGTTGCAACCCGATCGCAAGCAGATGCAATTCTTATTGCGACAGCCAATCAGAAGCATCAATAGTGCTATTGACGCTTCTGATTGGCTGTCGCAACAAGAGTTGCAATCGACTTGCAACTAATGTATAACGACCTCAATGTAGAACGACCTGTCAGTTAATGTCCGTTTCTGCCAACTTTGGTTAACTTAACCGGTTGGTTATTCCAATAGAATTGATCAATCACATTTTTCCTTAGTCAGACTTGATAGATGCGATTCCGTCAATTCCATTGAAATAACCAGCCGGTTAAGTTAACTAAAGTTTGTAAAAATGGATATAAGACATAATACTGCAGTGTCATTTCTCGCCGAATTGGTAATGATGTTGAGGTTTTTCTAAGTAATCCCTGGAACCAATACCACAGACTTCTATATACTTCTAAACTATATACTACTAAACTGCTAACTTCGACTCAGTATATGGCCCCGAAAAGTATGTACAGAAATCTCGCGCATGCATCTATTTGGTATTCCGACATTCACAATGTAGCATCTTGTTTAGACATTATTGCACTCTGATATGGGTATACAATTGATCAATCACTTATTTTTACAAATTTTTTACTATAACGTACTTCACTCTGACGTTTTTCGCTCTTTACGTATACAAATATTTAAGCAGACAGCATCGGCCATATTACATTTATATCCCCTCTTCTTCTAGACACCAGTTTCAGGCATGCGCAGATGCTTTTTTTCCGTATGTAATACATAGAGCGCGTTCCGTTACACGCTCGCGAGCGTTGCGAGCTTGTAACGGAACGCGCCCATACTGTTCGGGGTCAATTTTACATAGCACTATATGAAGGAGTTAGCAGTCTAGTAGTTATATAGAAGTTTGTGACCACACTGAGCACTGAGTACTAAGTTTCTCGCCAAAGTATACTAAAATAAACGAACATTTAAAAAATAAATCTTACTCATAAAGACCGATTTATGATGGCTGTTAACTTATGCTGTAATCCATAAGAAATTGACTAATTGCAGTCGATTATTACAAGAATATTCAACTGCGATTGGTCCATTTCTTATGGATTACAGCATAAGTTAACGGTTACGGTCATCATAAATCGACCTTAACTGCTATAAATTTTCAAAAATTTTTATTAATATTTTATTGTGCGTCACATATACACACGGATATTTATTCACCTTCTATAACAATCAAAACCAGAAAGACATTTTTACTTTTCAACATTAAATAAACTAGTAAAAGAAAATTACATTATCCGTAAAGAGGAATGATCACACTTTGAATTGATGTATATATATCATTTCTATACAATCATAATTTTTCAGACTATCACAGCAATTTTACTTGAAAAGAACAATATTCCGACAATTTCGTCGATTTAAAAACAGAGCCTAAGAATTAATAGCGTTTGGTAATGTTCGAACTTCGAGTTGTGCGTTGACGTTTATGGTTTTATCAGTTATTTACGGTGTGCAGTTGTAACGTACGAATATAAATTATAAAATGAATGAACCTCAATTGTCGACACTTTAACATACATGATTCAACTGACGTAGAAACGGAGACCCTTCGACTCAGCAACGAAAGGTACGTCACGACATTAGAGGTTAAACTCAATGCTTCTAACCTAGAAATGATTTTCAAAACCGACAAATTCGGACGCGATAAATCATGTAATTACATAGCGTTTTACAGATTGAAAAAACACTCTCATAAGAGAGAAAGAAAAATCAAATTCAACCATACTTGTACAATAAGTTACAAAACCTTGTTTAACATAGCTTTTATTTTTTTTTCATTTTGTTAACAAATTTTTGCAAAGTGGTGATTCTGTTTTTCTGCAAACAGAAATTTTTAGCACGGCTTAATATGATTACGTTACGAGGCAAGCTTAAGAAGGATAGTGACGTAGCAAATTCAAAGAACAGGGATTTCAATAAGCGAGTCTCTGTGCGTGATAAATTACTGGTTAAAGAGGTAACATTGTGGTGGTTTTCTAATCTGATCATATTATATAAATATCGCTTTGTAATTGACGTATGCATTATTCTATTTAGGTACAGGAGATGGAACAGACGCTGCCAACTACTTGTCAAGTTTCATTCAACGATCCACATCGACTTCACGAATTTTCGCTTTTAATTGTACCAGATGAAGGATATTGGACCAATGGTCGTTTTTACTTTCAAATTCACATACCTGAGGACTACAATATGGCGGTAATTTTGTAATTAATACTTTGATGAGGCTAAATGACAGAAATATTTTGCATTCAATTATGAACCAAATTACTGAATCAATGAAAATAGGTTTTGCATGTAACAATCTATCATGTAACATCTGCTATAAAATTTTTGTTGATTATAATGACAGAAATCAAGCATAATCTGCCATTCTGTAATTATATAAATATATTTAAGTGGAGCATGCTTTAGATTCTATTTAGTCAGTACCATCAATTTGCTGTCAAGTTATGTTAGCAATAGTGTGACCAACTGTTCTGAATTTTGCAAGACATTCTTTCACTTATCTATGAAGAATGAAAGAAAGCATACTTGAATGTCTTGAATAGCACTTTATCTTCATCTATCTTTTGTTTTACTTTAATTACTTTATTTCATTCTCCCCATCCTTGACCACAATGTGGCCCAATTAAGAATGAGGAAAGAATCAGGGATTTCTTCCTCATCCTGTTTGTTTACTATAGATGTTGTATGGCAGCACACATTTCAATTAGTATATATTTCAGTACTTTATAGAGGCATCCCAAAAAAACCCTAAACAGGATACCATTTGTTCCGATTTACCACATAATATGGAATAAATAATATGAAATTGTACTGTTATTTATTATTTGTGTAATGAGAAAAATGTGCACTTTATGTTGATTGTTCATTGCTTTTACTTTAATTTTAAACCAATAATTTATATTAAAAATAATAAAAGACTATATTCTGTTAATTGCTTGATATTCTAACAATGAATAAATATTTTATTTATTTATATTTATATGTATTTAATTTATATGTGTCAAGATGTATCTATATATGTATGGTCAAAAAAGAAAATGTACAGTTGTAGACAAATTGTTTACCTTTTTTTGCGAGTTAACATATCCGTCCAATAAAAGAATTCTCAAATAGAAAACAGATTCATTAGATAACTAAACTTACATTTCTCAATCAAAAAAAGGTCAGACAATTTATCTGCCCTCGACTGTACACACGTTAATATAACAAGTTATTATATAATCTGATGTACCATTGAAGAAATCCTGATTCCTTTAGTTGTGGCTTGATTTTTTAAGAGTAATATCCCAAAATTAGTTGATTAAAAGTTGGTCACTCTAGTTAGCAGGCTCTGTTGACAGAATATGAATTTAATGCAATATTGACTGACATTTTGCTCATTGAAAAAATATGGATTAAATGAACATTTTATAGCCACCGAAAGTGAAATGTCTAACAAAGTTATGGCATCCCAATATAAGTGAAGAAGGTGATGTTTGTCTTTCCATATTAAGGCAAAGTAGTCTTGACGGAATGGGATGGGCACCTACGCGGAAGCTGAAAGACGTCGTCTGGGGTTTAAATTCCCTCTTCACTGTATGTATATAACTGTTTATCGTTGCATTCGAGTCGGCGAGTGTATTCAATATGCATTCTACACTTTGTATTTGTTTCAGGATCTCTTAAACTTCGACGATCCTTTGAATAAGGATGCAGCCGATCAATTTATTAAAGATAAAGAGTCGTTTCGAAGTAAAGTTAAAGATTATGTAATGATATATGCAAAGAGATGATCTACATTGTAACGTTTTAAAGTACAGACAATTATCATTGGTTTCATGAGTATTTTTTGTCTTGGGGTGAACGAGTGAAATACTATTTAAATTTGCTTTAGAATAATAAATTTAGTAGATAAAAGGTTGCAATTTTCATATTGCAACTTCTTATCTAATAACTACACATGATGTATTTTAGTTTCATATTTTGCTAGTCTATTCTATTGCAGAGAGATCATCTTCTCGACCTATACATTGAAATTGGGTTGTTGTAGCGAAATTTCGTTAATGTATATTAATTGTAATTTTCATTATATCTATTATGATTTTGATATATTACATATATGAAGAGGGTGAATTGGAAATATATCACATGTACAATAATATTTGTTCTCTTCAAAATACTGTAATGCTAACGCGACATCTCTGTAAATAAAGTCGATGTTTAATAATATATATGAATATTTCTAACCATCTACACACGCGTTTCACCATCGTAAAAGAATAATGAGCTTGTCACTGAAATGTCAGGCACATTTTTCTCAAATATTTATTTATAATATTCGTACAACGCGCGCGCGTAATCGACATTTTTTATGCTTAATTTCAAAAAATTCGATCTGCACTTCGTCTCGTCGGGATGCATGGAGCGCAATTCACTCGTGTCATACACGTCGAATTAACGGACGGCTGAAATTCATTGTGTGCGATTTAAACGCCGACGACATCTCCGTCGGCGAAGCATCGATATTCGGACGACAATGGTCTCTGTTATAATTACAATTTGTAACAAATAAATAATAACAAAAGAGAAATCGAAGAAACGATTTCTCGCGTCTCTCGTTTTCCGTAGACAGACTAGGCAACGTACGCGAGATGGTACGATTGTGTGTTTTGTGATGTGGTATGTTTGTATGTATATGTACGTATGTGTGTGTATGTTAAGATAAATGGAAAATCGCAGTTTAATCATTAAAACGTGGTGCGTAGCTCTTCTTGTATACTGGTCGATCTGATGAGCTTCTGCTTGGAGCCCAACAGGCTTTCGCTCGCTAGACTGTCGCTCTCGGAAGCTAGTTTTGATTTTTCCTCGTGATATTCCTCATTGTACTCTTTCAGCCTGTTACCTAGGAACACAGCCCTCTCGCGTTTCTTGATCATATAATCGGTTGGCAATAGCCATCTGTGATCGTGGCACTCTTCTGTCATTGGTCTTTTACTAAAGAAGAAAGCAGTGCAATTATTATTCTGTATAAAAGACCTATTTGCAGATAGCATTTAATATTAACTCGTAGTATTTGATATATCAAGACACTCAGCGATAAATTTTTAAACGTTCGATAAGAAAAATTTAGTAAAGAGAAATTATTCAGAAATATCAAAACTTTGTTTTTTAAACAAAATGTTTGAAACTCTACTTGCGAGTAAAACTGTCGAAGATCTTCAGTATTGCAAATGTTAATTCTACGAACCTTGGTGCGCGCTTGAAGACCAACATGAGGAACCTCGTGGCCTCCTGACTCAGCTCCTTGTAAAGATACTCGAATCTGTACCTGACGAAGGATATGTTCTGTCGAGTCTCATCCGCGTCCTTGCCGCGGAAAGGCGAGACCCCAGACAACAACACGTAGGTCAACACACCGACCATCCAGATATCCGTCTGAGGATAGGCCGGTTCATCGTTGTGCAACTCAGGCGATCTGTATTCGTGATGGCCGAGCTGCTTCGGTACCGCTGTGCCTAGCCTGCTGACTTTGTGAGCGGAGCCCATGTCAACCAGCTTCACTTGCACCGACCTCACGGACGACATCACCACGTTGTCCGGCTGGATATCTAGGTGGCAATAGCCTCGCCAGTGCAAGTACTGCAAACCGTCGAGAATCTGCGTGACGGCGTTCGCCACGCAATTCTCCGTGTACTCGTGTCTGCTGGAGAAGTAGGTGAGTATATCGGCGCCTTGGAGCTTCTCCATGACGAACATCACGATCGGCGAGCCAGGGACCTTATACGCCGTCTCTAACATTGCCAATCTCTCATGTCGCAGCGAACGCAATGCCTCGTATTCCCGATTCACTTGCTTCTCCGTCTCGGCATTCAGCTCGAGGATCTTGGCGACGATCACGCGATCGTTGCTCTTGTCCAAGCCCTTTACCACCGCGGAGAACTGGCCGCGCGATAGCTCCGAAATAAAACTGTATTTGCTGGACAACTGAGGCTCCTCTGACCACTCAATCGGCCGCTCCTCTACGGAGTAGTCAATGTGCTGTTTGTCCTCTTCCAAAACGATCTCGTGGCCGGCTTCAGTAAACTCCTGGAGATGCCTCATTGCGCGCGTTATTTGCACCTTCGGACAACCTGGCGGCCGAGTCTTGATCAGCTTTGACGGGATGCCTTTCTCACTCCAGCCGATGCGGTTGCGCGCTGCCAGACGGAAGTTGTAGCTTGTGTCCTGCTTCAGGTTACGCACCAGATAGAACTCGTGGTCGATGTTCGAGCCGACGTCTATCCAGGCAATTGAGTCACCCTCCTTATATTGAAGATTGTAGCACAACACGGCCGAATTGCCGTCATACTTGGGCTGTTTCCATCGCAGAAGTACTTCGGTGTCCGACACATCGGAAGCCTGAAAGATCAAGTATCCTTAGCATAGAAGGCATATGTTCCTCGGTTAAAAATTCTATTTTTTATCATTCTTTTACCAAAATTCTCTTAAAGTAACTCTCTAATTTCTACTTTAATTCCTTAAAGTAACCCTCTAATGTTTCTCCGATCTAAGTTTTCCTCTAATTTCGTTAACTTTTTAAATTCTCTAGTTTTTTTATTTTTATACTTCTTATACTTCGGTATCTTCATATATCCTCGAAGGTTGCATGATTACCTCTGGGGAATCCGGGCCGAAAGGAACCGTTGCCAACAGCACCCTCGTTCTAACAGCTGTTTGTCCTATCGGATTTCTCGCCACGACCTTATATATGCCAATATCGTGCTCTTTCGTAGGGTTAAAAGTAAATATAGATCTTCCCTCTGTGTCCTCTGTCACTTTGATCCGATTGCTCTCCTGTATGACCATGTCGTTCTTGAACCACTGTATCAGCGGCTTCGGATCGCCCACAGCGAGGCAGACAAGCTGCGCTGACTTTCCCTCCTCGATCGGGCAGATCTGCGGCTTCTCGCGAAAGAATGGCGGCTGACCCTCCTTCTTCGACCCAATCATTGCTTCGGCCTCAGCGTAACTGTCCAGTCGAGTACCCAGCTCGTTTTTCAATCGCCTGAGCGTATACGTATCCGCCGATCCGTACCGATTGATGCGCTCTCGCCTCTCGTCGTCAATTTCCTCGTCCATGACGTCCGTGAATCGCCGACGTTCCCGAATAATCGGTGCCTGTATAAAGAAAACAGAGAATTGAAGAAAACCATTTAAGGGTAACAACCATGTAGTAATTGTACTCACCCTCCAATCGAAGCCATTGTCTTCAGTAATAGAGCGCGAAAATCCGGGGCTGCGATTGCAAGCAACTTTCATGTATTCGCGTAGTCGGACGGGGAAATCGGTGTCTCGCAGCTGAAGGAGGTACGTATCCGGTCCGTTTTGGTAACTTTGAAACGCAATTGTATTTGATTATCTTTGATAACGCTACACTTATACAAATTTTAATAAAAAAGGAACTTAAAATTTTCTTTTAAAATTAATTTCCTTTAAATTTAATTTCAATTATTTTACTTATATAATTTAATTAGAATTTGAAGTTGGATTCAAATTAAATATAAACTGAATTTCTGAGTTGAAAATTCGATTGAAAAGTTATGTAAAAGTTGTGTATTTCTGTAGCTTAGCTGTAAAAGATACAATTTTTGTTTTGTTGCATTATTTTATGAATTTCAGAGATATTTTAAATGTATAAACTATTATGTCAATCGAAAAATTGTTAATGGAAGAAAGTTTAAAGATTATCAGATCTATTTTATATTAAATAGTTTTTTATATTAAATCTGTTGTATATTAAAAGTGTCATCTTACTGGCTTTCGCTCTTGATAATTCCGATCTCCGTGTCGATCGGTTCCCTCGATGGCACTTGATTCTCCCATGTCCTGGTCGAGGGCTTCTTCAACGGGCTGTAACTCCTGTCGGTACTGGGCTCAGGCGTGAATTTGTGTCCTGGTGGATACACCATTCGCGACGGATGTTCAAACGCGGTCTCCAACTTGCGCCTGCGATACCACGTGCGGCAAGAAGCATTGTTGTACCAATCGCTGTGAAAATACACGCTTTGTAAATTGAAACCTTCTCAATTGTACAAGAATACATTCTATGAATTTCTCTATTTTTACTTTCTTTTCTTCAGTTCTCTTATTTTCTGTAAAAAATCAATTCTGGTTAAAAGATACACTGAATTATTTATGACACACTCTCTTATTAAGTGTGTCCTTAAAATATTATTAGAATACACTTGCCGGTAAAGTTTATAATAATTCTTCAAATTCTCGGAAGGTATTCTGTGAGGTTCCGGTGGCAAATTGTCGATGTAGTTGAACCACGGGTGAGCCAAAGCAGTTTTGACATCCATCCTCGTCTCAACATTGTACATGAGCAGACTGCGGATGAAGTCCTGTGCCTCGTTCGATATGTGCTTCCACCGATCGTCGAAGTCCCATTTGCCGGCTCTGATCTTCATCAATGTCTCGCGGTCGTGCGCACCTCTAAACGGTGAAATACCCGACAGCAAGATATAGGTAATTATGCCGACGGACCACATATCCGCGGGGTAACTGACGCCTTCGTTATTGGTCACTTCTGGTGCGACATATTCCGGCATACCATACGCTAAAGTCATCAGCTTCATTTGCGAGATTCTACGAGCGAGTCCGAAGTCGCCGATTTTCAGGTCGTCCCCACCGGCGTGGGAGATCAGGAGATCACCGAGCTATGAGGAAAGATATTTAATTAAAGAAAATATTTATTTATAAATTAAGATTTATAAATATAAATTATAAATATAAATTAGAATTAATTACAGATTAAATTATTAATTTTTAAAGCTATGTTATTATTTTGAATATTTTATAAACAGATCAATCACAATATAAAGCAATTGATGTATACTGAAGGAAGGAAAAATATATATTACTAGTTGAGTTTTTGGCTTGTAAAAATAAATGCATAGTAAAAGTAAATTTTAGCAAATTATGTTATTACTTTTTAAATTATTTAGAGTTTGAATTTAACGAGTTAAGCACAAATTATATAAACAACCGAATTTTTCATATAAAAATCAAGTTTTATATACGTAATGTACCGTCAAACCAAGATGCGCGTAATGATTTCCGTGCATGTATTCCAGTCCCCATAACAGTTGGCGTATGTAACGAGCGATATCTATTTCGGTATAATATTCTTGTCTCGTGAGAGTGTCCACTAATTCTCCACCAGCCGCTCTAAATTATCATTAAGGATTTTTCAACATTTGATTCTACAATTCACTTTTAAACGTTGTATCAAGCTATGTAGGATCAATCTTTCAAGATAATCATGATATTGCGAGTTTGCGACGCTTTTCTAAAGTAAAAATATTAATAACTACAAGATGACTATCCACCTAATAATTATTGCAAAATCATTAAAAAGAGAGATAAAATTAATAAATAATCTATATAATATTAATATTATAATTTCAAAAAATAATAATTTTGATAACTCATAAGTTTTTAATTTTGCCACTGTAAGAATAATATTACGCTCTATCATGATTATTCTAATATCACAATTATCCTGATTTAACGTATAAATACAGATATGGACGTAGTAATAAAGGATACAGTTCCATGACGAGCGTAACCGAATCGTTAGTCTCGAAAGCATCGTGCAGCCGCAGCAGTTTGCGATGATGCAGGTTGTTCATCGCTTCCATCTCGTTATACATGAACGGCTTGAGATCACCATATCCGTGCATAATCTTGGAAGCGTAATTTCTACCGGTGTTCCTCTCGACCGCGTGATAGGTGACACCCTGCGTGCCGCGGCCGAGCTCATCACCCAAATCGTAGAAATCGCCGAACGGCTTGTCGCGCGGCTGCACATCCATCTTCTTCTTGTACGTTCTATATCCGTATTCGTGCTCGTTCTCCTCCACGTGAAGTATTACCGAACAGGATATTGATCCAGCCACGTTCCCCGCGCTAATCGAGTAAAGGCCTTCGTCCTTCGTCATAGCCTCGTTGATGATGAGAGTCGTAGTATCGGGTTCGGTGAATTGAATCTATCATTAGAAAGGAAAAGCGCTTAAGAAAATATCTTTATATTATATACTATGTTATAATTTAAAAATATATATAATTAATAAATATATGTAATTTTTCTACAATAAAAATATTAAAAACAACTAGATATTAATAGTGATTGCCCATTTAATCATTGTAAAATCAAAGAACAATTATATTAATTTTATTGATATTAATATTATTATATAATATTATTTTATTGATATTAATAATAAATTAAATTTACCACTGTGAGAACGATATTACATCGTCATGATTATTCTAATATCATAATTATTCTGATTTAACATGTATACAAGACATATAAATATAAACATAATAATTTTGAAATCAAGATGTATAACTAACAATAAGAAAGTGAACTTTTTTAATTTTTCTTTGGTTCACATTTCTATATTCTTTCGTTCCATATACTCTTATTATTTTTTAATAATTATATATTTATCTGTGGAATAGGACAGAATAAACGGAACAAACCCTGATTCTGGAAGATGAAGCTATAGGCTTCCAATCCTTGTACCACTTCAGCTCTGGGTAAGGTACACCGGTGACGCGGGCGACCAACTGGCCAGTTCTCCTCACCATCACAATAGTTTCATCAGGTCTCTCGATGAACGTGGGGTACTCGGCGATCTTCAAGACAATTCTCTGCCTGGCTTCGCCGTGCTCGTTTGTAGCGACAGCCTCATACATACCCTCGTCCCTCTCGAGCATTCGGTTGATGAAGAGAGTCGCCTGGCCATTTCTGGTATAGCTCTGGTCGTATCGACCGCCCGATTCGATCAGTTGATCGTTGAAGTAATATGTCATCTTCGGCTTGGGGTAACCGTAGACAAACCAGAAGAGGTTGACGTTGTGATTCTTCACGCCGTACTGGGTGTCATACTCCTGACGCAGGAATTTGGGCGCCTGAGCGTAACCGTCGTGGGGTGGTCGCTCAATGTCGAAGTCCTTCGGGAAGTAAGGACTGGTCTCAGGTCGGAAGTCGATACCAGGTGGCAAGTAAGGGAAGAACTTGGGTGGCTCCGGCTCCAGTTTGGCGCGGTAGGTTTGCGCGAAGGGCGACGGGTCACTTATGCCGTATTTGTTCTCCACGCGAATGCGGAACTTGTAGTCGCGGAACGGCTCGAGGTTGCGGATGTCGCAGACGCAGCTACGAATGCCACTGCGCGCGGTGAACCAGTCACCGTCTGGCAGCTCGCACATCTCCACCAGATACGTTACCGGCATTCGCGGCCCGATCGGAATGGACGGCTTCCAGGAGAGGGTGAGATGGCGGTCCATCATACGGCTGATGATCGGACGGTCCGACAATGGCAGCGGAACACCGGACTTTCGATACTTGTCGAAATCAGCGTATTGATCGGCGAGAGGTTTCTTCGTGCGTGGTTCCAGAGCTGAAATCGAAGGGAATTCATTAGGAAGATCTCACGAATTATCATGCGACTCTTGATAGTAACTTAGCAAGTAAAAAATTATTGATGAAAAATTATTGATTTTAGAAATATTTTAAAAATATTAAATGAAAACGTCCAAAGAGAGATACATATATGAAACTAATGCTTCAAAATATTAATTTAATGATTTTTCTTCACCACGAAAACTTTTATGCAACTTACATTCGTAAATCATCTCGGCGCTGCAGGAGTCTTCACCGTGAGGATTGGAAATCCTCAGTACGTACTTGCCGGCATCCAACTCGTCCGCGTTAGCAATTGTCATTCGCAACAAACTACCCTCCTGATCCATCCTGATGCGATCGGTGGGCCAGAGTCGATCGCCGTTGCGATACCACTCGAAGTCCGGCTCCGGGTATCCGGTGACGCACGCGGTGAATTTGGCGGGCATACCTCTGTAAACCTCGCAGTCGCCGATCCTCTTCAGGAACGTTGGTGGCTCGATTTTCTGCTTCTTCTCACTGAAGTTATTAATCGTGTAATATGACATAGATTCGTTAAATTCTCTTCTAGAAGTATCTTATCTTCTTCTATAATGAGATAAATAAAAAAACATTTATAATAAAGAATCTTTTATATGAAAAAAGATTCTCTTTAATATGATTATTCTTCTTATTTTATTAGATTATAAGAGAATTTATAAGATTATACTGTTTTATAAAAAGACTATTATTGTGTAAGAGATTATAATATTATAATATTATAAAAAATCATGAGATTTTTTAGAGGATTATCTTCAACATTCTAATCATCTAACAATCATCTAAAACAACTAATATTGTATATTTAAATAAAAAAGAGAGAATCTCACATCTTATCGACTACAGCCAAGTTTGCCACACATTCAGCCTCGCCGCCTTTGTTGACCGCTCTACACCTATATCGACCTGAGTCGTCGTAGGTGCAGTTCTTCACGTACAAACAATAAGCATCACCATCATGTTTGATCTTGTACTTGTCGTTGTCCTTCAAAATTGGCTTGTCGTTAAAATACCAGGTGACCTCAGGATGTGGTATACCAGTGATGCGCGCTGGAAACTTGGCGTCGTAGGTAGGCAGTTGCTGTAGATCCGTGAACCTCTGCGTGAAGGACGGTGACTGGTAGACTTTCCTGACTATAGCGTTCGCGCCGGTGGTGTCTTCGCCGAGTGGATTGCTCAGCCGGCAGCTGTAGGCACCTGCGTCCTTGACATCGCACGGTTTGATTTCCAGACCAACTTTCTTGCCGTCGCAACTCATCATCACGCGTTCCGAGGGCTTCACAGGTTCGCCATCCTTTGTCCAGCTCACGTCGGGCATGGGATTACCGACAAACGACACATCCAACGTCAATGGCTGACCTTCTTCAACGATCACATCGCGCATAGGACCGGTGAAGGCTGGCTTTTCCTCTGGCGTGTCCGGTCTGGTCTTACTAACTACGTCCAGTTTAGCTTTGCAGGACGCGGTGCCCTCCGTGTTACCGGCTACTACTTGATATTCGCCTATGTCCTCTGGCGTCGCCTTATCGAGAATCAACGCATGACTGCCGTCCGGTTGGCTGGTGATCTTTATGTGCGTGTTGTCAGGAACAATCTGAAGATATATTGATTTTGTTAGATAAGAATCGAATTTAAAATATTTGAACATAACATATAACAATGTTAAAAATATCATAGTACCTCGTCGCCGTTTCGCAGCCACTTGAGCTCGGGAGCTGGTTTTCCGACAGTTTTCACCTCCATCTTCACTGGGAAACCTTCGACAGCGGTTTGCGGCTGAAGGCTCGCGACGAACTCCGGCCTCTTCTCTCTCTCCTCCACTTCTATCTTAGCCGTACCAGTGATTTCGCCAAGTGCGTTGGACACAATCAAGGAGTAAGTGCCCGCGTCCTCCGGACGTACGTAGTCGATCTTCAAGCCGATCAGACCGTTTGGCTCATTTATGAAATACATTTCTTTCGTGTGTCTCAACGGTATACCGTCCCTGAACCATTGCACCTGCGGATTCGGGAATGCTAAGACTTGAGCTTCCAGCTTCAGCGGTTGTCCAACCACGGCCTTCATGTTCTGCAATGACTTCATAAACGACGGTTTCCTACGTGAGGCTGTAACAAGCGCAGACTGCTTAGTAATAAAAGCCACTTAAATTCATGAAATTACAAACTGTTATTAATGTTTCTTAATGTAATGTAACGTTAATTTTAACTTTATGTTATAATTCATTTTATGTTAATATTAAATTTAATTTTACGTTAACGTTAAGTTTAACTTTTGATTCTAAAAGATACGCGAAAAGTTATTTTAAACGTATTATTAGTAATTAAATCAAATATCTAATCTTTCCATTTTGTCTCAACGAATTGACGAGATTCGTTACTCGATAGAGCACGAAAACTAAAAAAAATTCACTCACGTGTGACAGCGACAGCGCAGAGTGAGGAATTATCTCCGCTGGAGTTCGAGATGACCAGCTTGTAAGCGCCACAATCGGTGGGCTCCACGACGTCGATCATGAGTTTCGTGGTGCCGTCCGGTGAGGTGGTGATTTTCACGTGATCATTTGGCCAGATCCTCTCGCCGTCCTTGAACCAAGCGGTGCTGGGTATCGGACTACCGTCCACTTTGGCTTTCAGCTCGAGCGGCTCGCCCTCGTCGACTTCCATTGACCTCGGTAGGGGTGGTCGGCCGAACGAAGGTGCGGTCAACGTCAACGTTAAATCGCAGTTGGTTTGCGCGGTACCGGCGACATTGCTCGCCTGGCACGTGAACGTGCCGACGTCGTCCGCGGAAAAGGTCTTGATGGAGAAGATACTGTCCACTATGCCGTCTATGTGAGTAACCAACTGATGCCGATCGTCCTCTTTGATGATCTCGCCATTCTTCAGCCAAATGACGCTTGGTCTCGGGATACCGACCGCACGGATCTTCAGCTCGATGTCTTCGCGATCGCTGCACTGCATCTTCGAGAGGCCTTTTAGGAAAGTCGGAGCCTCGGCTACGGGAAATGCAAATGTTTTTTTATATCGTGAAGATGTAATATACAAAGGATGATACTATAATTTTGTGAACTCGAAGATCTATAAGACATAAGTCTTTGGATTTCTATGCAGCTTACAAGTAAACCTACCCAAAAGGTACATTCCGATTTCTTTCTAATTTGGCACAAATGTGTACAAAAGTACAAAGAATATTTAGGTCATATTTTTTCATTTTGACTCACTTTGAATTTCACAGACAGATTATAGCTTTTTAATGTTCTCAATCCTATCATCAACAAATACAATAAAAATACATAAGAAATAAAATTGAATACAAGATATAGTTAAATAATTCTAACAAAATCGGCATAGCTGAGACACGAACCATTCTAAATTTCTTTAGCCGAGATTCCAACCGAAATATTTCAAATCTATGCTAAATTAGTCAATAGTTCGAATCTCTGCCAAACCGAGAAATTATTTGTATACATAATTTTTTTTCAACTTTTTACATGTTTTGTTTAAACATTTTATTATTTATACAAATAATTTTATACATTTGACTTCATATTCATAATTAGCAAGCCAATAACGCCTATATTCAATTTTATTTCTTATGCATTTTTGTTGCACTTGTTGATGATAGGAATGAAAAAGCTATAAACATTAAAAAGCTATAAACTGCCCGTGAAACTCAAAGTAAGTCAAAATGAAAAAATATGACCTAAATATTCTTTGTACTTTTGTACACATTTGTGCTAAATTAGAAAGAAATCGGAGTGTAACTTTTGGGTAGATTTACTTGTTAGATATACGGCTTGCAGCAAAGCGTATAAAGTGCGACTATATTTTACTGAGGAAACTTAATGAACTTACTGTGAGGTGTCAGAGTAGCCTGAGCACTCACTTCGCCCAGGTAGTTCTTCGCCACAATCGTGTAAGCGCCGCCGTCTTCAAGACTAAGCTTCTTGATGATGAGCTTATATTTGCAGTTTCTCTTATCCTCTTCCATGTCGTATCGTTCGCCCTTCTGCAGCTCCGTGCCATCCCTCATCCATGTAACCACGGGTTTCGGATTGGCCTTGACGATCGCTTGCCACTCGACCCGTTCATCAACCGACTCGCTGTGATCTTTGAAACTGTCGATTTGCGGCTTCAATAGAAGACTCAGAAACGCCTGGAAAGATATAAATATCTCAGTGATTATCGGCTATTTAATGCATTGTATCAGTTCACTACTTACGTTAGACTCAGCATCTCCCCATTTGTTTATCAATCTCAAGCTGTACTCCCCAGTATCTTCCTTGGTGCATTTCGGCACCTTTAACGTAACTTTACTTTCTGTCAACTTGTCCGCTGCCGGACTGTTAGCGATGGTAGACTTGATTCTAGAATCATCTGACGGAATCTCCTGATCTTTGAAGTACCTACAGAATATATTTCTATATAACCAATAACATTCTTTTGCTATCAAGAAATAACTCATATTACAACTTAAATATTGAAATTGAAATTTCGAATTAACTTTTCAAGCGTCAAATTTATCCATACTGTGAAATATTTCAAAAGATATATGAAACTTGTTGATATTTATCATAGATAGATTTAAGCAAGATTTTGAAGTTCTACTCCCAAATTTTATAAATATTTAATCTTTTAATGAAATATAACATGTGAAAATGAAGACAAAGATAATTTTATATTATTTTAGAAAACGCGTGTACTTCCTTTCTTCTTAACTCGAAAAATGTCGAGCATGGTGCTTAAAATATTAGTGCAGATAGACGAAAAATAATTATAGCTTCATAGCTATAGCATAAAAATAGCTTTCTACTCTTTATCCTGCATACGCACCATCTTACATCCGGAACCGGATCGGCCGTAAAGACAGCCTTGAACTCTCCGTTAGCCTCGAACGCAACATCGACGTCACTGAGAGGCTCAGTGAATCTCGGCTTGCGAAGATCGTCGACCGTACCGACGGTCAAATAACCCTCCACAATTTCTTCGCCCAGTTTGTTCGTCAAGACGCACGAATAGACACCCTCGTCCTCGAGAGTAGCCTTGCTGAGATCCATCTCGTACAACTCCCCGGATGTGCTGATCCTCACCCGTTCGCCGGATCGAAGAGGTTTGCCATCCTTCAGCCACTTCACGTCCGGCCTCGGCAGACCGGAGGCATTCACCTCGAACTGCGTGTTCTGCGTCTCGAAGATCGTTCGGTCGGTGAGATTGGTGCTCAACACATGAGGCGGTGCTGCGTAAATAAACGAGAGGAATAAGCCGCCATTCGTCGGAGAGTCAAGTATGAATTCATGATACTACGTTCCTATTTTTTAAAGGAAAAATATACGTGATAACGGACATAAGCTGAAACTCGGTGCTCACATCTAATGGTGCTTATACCTTTACTGCTCAATCATCAGGCTGTGCTTTTTTATCATATCTATCGAATAATCTTTTTAATGTACTTACCTAAAAGCGCTTATGGTTAAGCGGGTGCTCGGCAAGCTCTACGTGGTGAAGATTACGAAATCAATCAACGCTGTTTAGAGTGTGAAAGCCGCAACCTTACCTCGATACATAGACTTTTAAGACGATGAACAGTAACAGAGCTACTATAAGTCAACGTCGAATAAGATAATGTTTGAGAATACAAACAATCAATATTACGCATGGAAGCATAAATATAAGATATATTAACATAAATATTAAAAAAAGAATACGCATTATAATATAAAGAATCTAAGAATATTATACCAACTCTCCCTTGGGAGGTTAATATAATATTAAATATTATATAAAAATTAAATTACGTAATATATTATAACATATAATTTTTTTAGTAATATATTGTATATTATATATAATATTTTATTAATCCAATATAATATTAACCCTTTGAGTCTCAGTTTTTCATTTTAGAAATTTAGTATTTTTTCATAGAGAGAGATATGCATATATCAGACACACAAATGCAAATAATTTTTTAAAAGTAGCTTCAATAAATGAAAAATTTGCTTATAAAAAATTAAAAAATTGATAGAAATTTAAATTTTTTCACACAAAACAAATAAATTGTAACTACATAGTTAAAAAAGCACTTTATTAAACAATGTACATAAAATATTTTCTTATTTTTAAAGTTATTATTTTTGAAGATACTTTTGAAGATATTTATAAATATATTACATAATATTAAGATATTAAATTCAAGGATACTCCCCTACTACACAATTGATTGGCGTTACATTATCCCAATTGATTACATTAGCGTATTGGACTAATATAGCCAATATTGATTATAAAAAAAATGTAAATAAATTGCTAGTGTTGCATAAGATGTGTCAATATTGGCATACATTAAAAGTACATTGAGCCAATATAATTCAATATGTAGCCAATATTAATAATAAATAAATTACCAATATTCAAAATTCTATATTGGTTATAAAATGCAAAGCGTCTACTTTAAAATACTAGACCAATATTGAACATATTGAGGCTTTCTCTTTTGTAGCTAATATTGCTCCAATGAACTGTCATCAAGGATACTCAAGAGATACTCGAGAGACTCAAATGGTTAATTTAGATATAATATTTTCATGTAAAAATCATGGCGATTTTACTCATTAATGAACTTCTTATAGTTTCACGCTTCCACGCTAACACGTGCGAATACAATAAAATCGTGAACTCAACGACATGCGAGAAGATTAGCGAGATCTCGATCTGTCAGTTAAAAACAGAGATGATGGGCGATCTACGTTCCAACGAGTCGTCGTGCTGAGAAATTAAAGTTAACTGGCGAAGCTATCGATGGAACTTTGCGGCTGTACCTGATTCTCTGCCCGACTCTTTATCAAGAATTTCGTCTAGCTCGCTACGTTGCCGTTTAACACGAGCTAGGAGCTTCTTCATATCTTCGTCGATCCCATCGTCATCGTCGTCAAGGAGCGCTTTCTGAGAACTCTGTCGCGACAACGTTTCGCTCGACAACGTCTTCGTAGCTTCCGCCTTCTCGAGCTTCGCGGTTCCCTTCGACAAGCCGCCAGGAGCTACAGCCGCGCTCTGTGATTGCTCCAAAGTTTCTTCAGCAACTTTCTTCGCCGGACTCACGTCGCTGATCGTCGCGCTTTGGCCGGGCAAATTCATCTTTTTCGTGTCGAGACTTTCTCGTTGCAGCGTTTGGCTCGACAACACCGCCGACGACGGTTCCTCGGAAGAGCGCTCCTCGACGATGGTCTCCGTGATTCTGGAGACACGGTGCAGTCTGACGTCCTCTGGTGTTCCGTTGAAGTAGGGCTCGTCGAGGAAGCCGTTCGTCGTTCGTTGATCCTCTGGCAAATCAGCCGCCTGCATGTCCTCCGTGCTGACGTCCCGCGAGAGCGCCTTCAGGGTCGATTCGTCGTCGGACACGGACACGATCGTGACACCCCGATTGACGGCCAAGTTGGACCGTTTCTCCTCGGTCTCCGAAAACTCCTCGATCAGCACGCCGTTCTGCGGCTTTGAGCTTTCCTCCTGCACGGTATAAGCGTAGGAAGCGACCTCCTCGACGCTGGGTCCCGAATTGACACCGAACTCTCGGCACTCGACCTTGGTTGCCGTCATCTTGCTGATCGTGTGACTTTCGTCGGGACCTGCGAACCGCCTGACCTCATACCTTCGACTACTAATAGCCGCGTGTCGTCGTCATAGTCGTCGACGTGTGCGCGGTTCCTGTATCTTCAGTGTCTTTAGAAACGATCCTTTATGTACTCGTCCCGATAAATAACGCGATGCACAATTAAACAGGACACTTGCTCGACCACGATCGAAGCAGACGTCGACAAGAAACTTCGAAGTGAAACCATCTTCGAACAGACACGCTTAGTTTTCGACAGATGTAATGTGGTTTCGTGTTCCCTGTCTGTTCGTGTGGTTGTTAGTTATCGAGCGAGTATCGTTTATATGTCTGAACAAACGCGAAAGTCTGAAAGATTGCGTAGACTGAAAAGAAAGCGGTTCAGTCGACAAAATTGACAATTACTCTCGTTCAAAGAAAAAATACTGTCTCCGGAATGAATTATAATTATTATGCAAATTATTAAACAAAACAAATTATAACAGATTATAATTATTTTACGTTGACTCAACAATACACTGCATTGATATAATTGCTGATCAGATTGCAATGCAATCTATAATTCATTGCAGCAACTATAAACTGAGAGAAAAATTGTGTGAGAAATAAAAAAAAATTTTTATGGATTTTTTTATTTTTTAATAATACATTTACTTATACCAATATAGATATTCCTGTAATAAAAAACAATTTTTTTTAAATAAAAAAATATACATTTTCTTAAAACTTTGTAGTAGTTTATTCTTTCTAAATAAAAGAATTTAGATTTAAGTAATTATGTTATTAATACCCATTGAGAATAAATATTTTTCATTTTTTTAGATATTTCTTCTCACACAGTGTCTATAATTTATTTGACTGAGCAATAATGCTAAGTGATAAGAAAGTAATAATAATAAGCATTTACTTAAAGGATCTTTTTTCATCCAAACAGTCTCCATCTTTTTCCTCAGTGTAGACTACCATAAGACATCTTTCAGACCTTTGCGTCTCTTGGTTGCTTAAAAAGTGAAGGGTGCATACGTTTTTCCAACGTGGTGTATGTATGTGAAATTACCTGTGAGTATAGCTTCGTGAGATGTCGTGGAGGCCACGGAGATTGTGATCGTTTCATTGTCCCCTTGAATTACTTGGACGTTTTGTCTCTCCAGTGTGACGCGACCTAAATTTATACCAGACATTGTTTCGCCACCGAACCACCGTCAAGCGACTCTTAATCAAGAAATCTCTTCGATACACGTAAGCTACGCTAACTAACCTGCCGAGTTCACGAGTAATGTTAATCACGAGCTCGACAATTAAGCGCTCCGTGTGTTCTGTGCGTCTCGGTAATAAATCACGACGGTGCATCACGCGAATCTATCTAACTCTCTATGAGACTGCTTTTACACGTGTACTTGGAACAAAATCAAGCGACGATTAAAGTATACAAGGGGCGCGCGAGAAGCGGTGCTAATTGTCTCCGATCATTAATCCTGGGATGCATGACTCTACAATGAAAAGTGAAAAACAGAAGATACATTGAGAGAGAAAAATGGTTAATTTAACTAAAATTATAGTTATTTTTAGTCCCAACCATATTTTTGGTTGTTCTAACACGAAAGTAGTAAGTAGTAATACATATATAACGATGGTTGTTATCATTAATATGATAGTAAAATATAATTTAAAAAATTGGTTTCCTTCACTTTGTCGTAAATATATTTCTCTATATGATTATAGTTACAAATACCAAATAATTTCTTTTCAGTATAAAAATCATCCACTTAAAAAATCGAAATTTGCACCGAAAAACTTGTTGAAAAACTGTCATGAAAATTCTCCTGTGCGATGCATCCTAGAATTAAAGTATCTCTCAGTATATGATGATATCCCAGACGAAACATGTGGATACGTCATACGAGTCGCGCGAATCGGCGTTTCGATTGTCATAAAGCGCAATTGCTCGTTGTTGCCTTCCAAACGAAGAGGTGAAAAAAAGTGAAGAGATGACATTCTATTCTCATTCTTATGCACTCTGACGTAGTTGACCCAGTTACCTTCCGATCCCGACTCTTCGGCAAGCAGACTCGATTGCTGCGGCACCTGTTCCTCCGTCAGTTTCTTCGCCTGCGTCTTCTCCTCCTGCACCGTCACCTTCTCGGCCTTCTCCCTCGACGGCTGTATCTTTTCGTCGAGCTTGTCTTCCGTTTCAGCTACAGAAGTACATCGAATTTCTATCGTGACGTGCTTCGAGACGCGATAGATGTCAGTACACGTGACGTTCAGAGAGAAAATTGGAACGTGTGCAGACACACTCCAGCGTGTACACAAGAAGCAATAGTACAGTAACGTAAGTCTACACGGTAAAAAAATTTCAATTGGTGTAACTGGGTGGGGACCAGACGAAAAACTCGCTGACGAGAAGTAATATCTGTTATTGTGATCGAAAATGCTTGTCTGAATATTCAACTGCGTTAAAACTTGATTGAGGTAACTGAGAACATTTGGCTAAGTAAAAATCTCTTACAGGAATTTTTTGATTCCTACAACAGTTCTTCATTTAGTTCCCAGATAACAGAAAATTAGTTACATTAACAGAATTATTTTTTTCCGTGTAGGTCAATGCTCAAAATTGCATTTTCGAGACGATTTTCGAGGGCTATGCCTATACTTTCTTTTTCTTTTTCCACCTTCTCACACTCACCCGTCGAGCCTGCGATTACGGGAAAGACAACAAGAAGAAAGTAGCCCTTGAAAATGCAAAAGTAATTCCTACGGGCACTGCACTGCAAATTGAAGTGACGCCGAAATATATTAAAACAACATATTAACGTCTTCCCTTTTAACACGCTACATTAGCAGTTTCATATTATTATTCATATAAAAAATTTGCTATATTTCTAGCAGAATTTACTATGTCTCTTAGCAAGATGGATCTTACTGACAGTTTATCCCTGCACTATTAAAGACATAAACTAAAATTGAAATGAATTTATGAAAAAAAAGCTATAATATCCTTTTCATATATTATTTAAAAAATCATATTGCACTTCTTATATTATAATATTCTAATAAAATTGCAACATTGTTGAAATTTAAAATTCTCAACAGAATTATAATATATATCATTGCTTATATATGAAACAATGATTGTTAATTTGAGTATATTAGTTTCAAGTGAATACTAATTTTTTTTCTGTGTGAGTTAATTTAAACTGCCAGCATAGTTTGTCTTAAAATGAGGTCATGTTAACGTACGTTAACGTACGTTAACGTTAAAATGAGGTGTTTTAACGCACTTTATTTTGCAGTGTGCATCAGATCAATAAGAAGATAGAGAAAAAGATAGAAAAAAGAGAAAAGGAACGGAAAACACATGTTCTGCGTCAACGTCGATGATGTGACGCGTCTGCAGGTAGCGCTCTTCCCTTTCGTTTGTGGAGATCGGGAGAGAGTTCTTTCTATACACACAGATCTATCGCACAACTAGAGGAGCTATCTAGAAAAAGATGATCTCGATTGAACCTCGTCGTTAAAGGTCGTCGAAGAATTTCGCAAAATATCACATCGAGAAAAACGAAAACAAAACGGAGAGGGAATCGTCATCATCCGCTTTGCATTCGGTACTTACTGAACGTAGTCGAAACACGACGACTTTACTGCTGCAATTTCTCAAAAACTAGAGACATTCACTGTCTATTGCTGACCGTTGTTCCGGCAACTATCACGGTTTCAGCCGTCCTCGTGCGATTCTTTCAACTCTGCTAAAATTATCCCCCGCGTTTAACTCCGGAACTCGACTGAGAGATCAAACGCGACACGAAGATAAATACTTGTAAAGCCAAGAAAACGTTCTAAGAGGAAAACTCAACAGTATTTAACTTCCATTCAATCATAAAGAGATGATGAAAGTCAATGATCTCTGAAGCAAGCTATATTTCGCACATTTAATTATTTTATTTATATTTTATTATTTCAAAGTTGTGTATGTGTGCGTGTATTATTATTTTATCGTGGAATTTATGTTCGCGTCGGAGTCGAGTTCCAGAGCTATGTTGAAAAAGAGCAGGCACGTATACTCACTTAGCACGATGACTTTGCTCTTGCTGGTGACGTAGCCCAGTGCGTTCTCGGCTCGCACCTCATACAGGCCGCCGTCCGAGCCCTTCAGCAACGTCACCGTCAGATCGTAGCTCTCCTTGCGCTGACTGTCCCTGGTGATCTTGATCCTGGCGTCCGCCGACACTTCTTCGCCGTCCTTGTACCACTTGACCTCCGGATCCGGTGTGGCGGACACTTCGAACGTCAGCGTAAGCGTCTCGCCTTCATTCAACCTCTGATCCGCCAGTTTCTTCAGCAACTTCGGCCGCGTATTCACCGTCAGATTCGAGCTGCTCGAGTTCTCGCCGTACTCATTGTGCACTTTGCACGTGTAGTGGCCCTTCAACTCGGTCTTCACTTCCTTGATGATGAGTTTGTAATTGTCGCCCTCTTCTACGCGAGTGTACTCCGTACGCTTCTCTGTGATCTCTACATCGCCTAGGAACCATTGTACGTTCGGCTTCGGGAAGCCCTCGATCTCCACTACGAATTCGACGTTCAGGTCGCCCTCATTCGCGCTGATGTCACACAGTTTCGTCTTGAATCTCGGTATGCCGCGCACCTGTAAATGTTTCGCCGAGTATTTAGGCCAGACGATCGGTAGAATCATCGGGCATGTTTTTCACTTGATTTCAAATAAAATTTACTTAAAACTCAACTTAAAACACTTTCATTATATCTGTATAAAGTTAAAATTCTGTTATTGTATTTGAAATTGATTAAAGAAAATTCTGTGATACCCAAAGTTTAATTCACGAAAAATCCCATTTTCTTAATCGTTTGTATCTTGAAAATTATTGATATCTCGACATTTTCAGAAAGATTAATCCTAAATTCCTTAAAATTAAAATTGCGAGTTCTGTATGATAGATTCACTATATATACTACATATCATACCCTGACTCTCGTTTCGTCCGCGATAGTTCCGTGTTTGTTGACCACTTCGGCCTTGTAGAACGCCGCATCCTCCACCACCGCGTTATTCACCGTGAGTATGTGATTGTTACCGTTCTTTGTCATCTTTACGCGATCGCTCGCGCTCAAAAGTTCACCGTCCTTGTACCAATTGACCGTCGGTTCGGTCTCGGAGTCCACCTCAATCAGAAGATTCAACGTGTCGCCCTCGTTGATCACTCGAGGCTCGCCCAGCTTCTTCTTGATCTTCGGTGGGCATTTGATGCCAACATTCCAGATCTCGGTCGTCTGATTGACCTCGTTACGCGCGACGATCGAATACGAGCCCGCGTCGGTCACCTTCGCTTTCTTGATCACTAACTTGTACGTGTCGCTGCCCTCCTTGCTGATCTTTATACGGTCGCTCTCTGAAATCTGCTGACCATCCTTGTACCATGTAACCTCCGGTGGTGGAGTGGCTTCCACCTTTACAGTCATCGTGTCGGTGTCCTCGATGAGAATCATCATGTCGGATTGCTTCTGCGTGATCTTAGGCGCGGACTTGACGATCAGTTCGATCTGCGTGCTGTCTTGGCCCAGTTCGTTCTTGGCCGTGATGGTGTAAACGCCGGCGTCTTTGGCAGTGACCTGCTTAATTACCAAAGAGAGCGACTCTTCATCTTCCCAGAGGTATTTGATTCTGCCACCAGCCACGATCTCTTGACCGTCCTTTGTCCACTTAATATCCGGCTTCGGATAACCCTTCACTTGCAGGTCCAGCATTGCGGACCCACCGATGCTCACTTCCGACTGTTTCGATTCCGTTTGTAGCTTCGGCTTCTCTGGATCTTTTAGCAACTGATTCACGGCACCCTGCACCGTTAATTCCGCACTACAGCTGATGTTACCTATATGGAAAAATAGCTCGGGATTAACTAAGGTACTGAAATCACCCACAATGCAGCAACCAAATTCTCGTTCTTTAAAATTTTATTATTTAATAAATAATAATTATATATATATATATAGTTATAGATTACCTGTGCTGGTTTGTGCTACGCACGTATAAAGACCAGCATCCTCGGGCTTCACGTGCTGGAACACCAACGCCAGAGTATCTTCGTTATCTTTAAAGAGAACTTTAAATCTCTCCTCAGGATTGAACGGCTGGCCATCGCGTAACCAAGTAAAATGCGGTTCGGTTCCAAGCTCAAGAAGACCTTCTGGAAGCCCAGCGAAGAGTGGCTTCTCGTCCGTCACAGTCACCTGCGCTTCGCACGTTGCCTCGCCGTAGCGATTCATGGCTGTGCACGAATATTTGCCAGCGTCCTGCTTCTGAACGTCAGCGATCACTAGCTCGTAGAATCCCTTTTCGGCATTGTCCCGTATGATCTTCACGCGTTCGTGCTTCACATCAATCAAAGTGCCATCTTTGAAACTGAAAGAAGATATATAACTTATTTTAGAAATTTATATTTTATATACGGAAGGAATTTTATTATAGTAAAAATTATCATAGACTTTTGTAATAGAAATATAATATTTTCTCTATGTATTTGTACGACTCAAATGAAGACTCACAACTTCATTTCCGGATTGGGATTTCCCTTGACCTTGATCATGAAACGCAGATAAGTATTCTCTAGAAGCTCGGTATCCTTCAAACGCACTAAGAAGACAGGCGCGTTTGCGTCTGCTCTTGCTTTCTTTTCCTCTGGACTCGCTGTAACATTTTTCGCATTAGTAAACAAAATTTCTTGTGTTGTATTTTCTAAATTTTTTCAAGTAAAATCTCTTTCAAATATATGAAAATTCACTCGAAATGATAGCAAAAATACTGTTACTCGGAATCTTAAAATTAAATGCTTTACTCAACTTTGATTGGACAAACTTCTGATTAAATTTAATTCGAAAGCTGTTCGTACTTTTCGAGTAAATATATTTAGAGAATAGAGAATATAAACATCTAAAAGATATATTATAAAAATACAGATAACATAAATATCTGAAAGACATTACACTTTTTTAGACGTGTAAAACTCTCTAAAACGCATCTTAAACATCTGCGCTGTCTGCAAAGTATCTAATAGACAAAGTCCGATGAATCTTCTCTTTATTCTAGATCGACTTACGTTGTTGGACTATCAGCTGTGCAGTGCAGGTTGCTTCGCCGTTTGCGTTCAGAGCTCGCGCGATGTATATCCCGGAATCCGACTCGTGCACATTCTGGATCTCGAGCTTGCAAATATTGTCGGACATTGTGGTGACTACGCGATCAGCCAGCTTGTCCTCCATCGGCTTGTTGTCCTTCAGCCATTGCATCCTGGTGGTCGGGTCGGTCATTAACATCGTGCACTCGAAGATGGCAACTTCTCCGGCTAGAAGAGTAACTCAAGTTAGCGTGAGAGCCACACACGAGTTTTAATCCCGAGAAGTGCGAAAATGTGAGAAGCAAATACGTCGACTCAGGTGCGATTTTCCTCTATTTCAGATATTCGAAATGAATAACGACGCTGTGCACGAATACTCTATGTGCTGTGCTGTTTGATTACTATGTAGATATACAATGAAGATTTAATGTAACATAATCGACTAGTAACAAGTAACATTTCGAACTATAACTCGTGAAAATGAGATTGCAAAAGCTAACAGGCCACATTTAAGGCATAAAATAATTAACAACGATGTGTTATCAACGTTCAGACACAATTAGCCGAGAAACTCGTTCCGACGGTTCTGCAACTGTTCCGTTCAAGAGTACCCGAATGTAAGCTAAAACTAGTAAAACATGTTTAATCAATGTAATATAAATACGAACCTTGTGTAGGAGTAGAGAAAAAAACGGTGTTGCTGTAAATGTGCATGAGTGTAGAGACGATGTCGGTGTCGAAGTAACTTGACGATGCGAGTGAGAAGTGTAAGTGTTTAGTGTAGAAAATTATGTACAGCTGATATCTAAGATTTAGTGATAAAGCGTGTTCAACTAGCAACGGTGGTATTACGTCTAGAAGCAATTTACTCAGCAATACTCAGCTGGCTATAAGAGAAAAGTCTAAAGAGAGACATATGAAAGAAGTGCGGAGAACAGTGAACGGCGATGAACTAAGTACAAAGTACGTGTCACTTTACCTATGGCGTGTATCAATGCCGTTTTTGGTCGCGTCGCTAGAACAGTAAAAATGTATCTTATGTCTTCCGATCGTCGAATGAGGTGTGCGTTATTTTTCGAAAATTTTATATTGGGTCCTCGAAGATACTCGAACGACTTCGTCATTTCGACATTGAATTCTCAAAAATACTTCTCAAAAATAAATTGCGATATCTAATATGTGTCTCGTGATAAAGCAAAATATAATCTTCCACGAAAAAAATTTTTTCCAGCCATAACCGACTAGACTCGACGATAAATAACTGTGTTTATATAGCTTATATGATAAATAATATTGCAAAATATCACATAAATTCTGTATACAGAATTAGAATAAATATTAGTTACATATATAATATTAAGATCATTAAATATAATGTTCACGTATACTCAATCGCGTAAAAGATGTATCAGGAATCACGAGCGCTTTTTCATGTTCGCGAATTATTTGGCTATTTTATTTTTCCTTGTTTTTCAATATAAAAATTAACTTTAAGCACAAAAAATATCTCAGATTCTCAAAAATACAATTAAAATATATAAAATAAGAACCAATGCTTGTTAATTGCGATTTTTTTATTAAACCGAATTTATAATCACAATTAATAAATACAGTTGGCTTTTATTAGCTCATTTAATTAATTAATTAATTAAATTTAATAAATAAAATAAATTTTGTCTTTTTTTCTTAGTTAGAGATAACTTATACAACTATCAATAACTCTTCTGCTCATAATTTGAAAATTATGAATGTCACGTTTTGTAACAAGCATTACTGCTCTTTTCATAAAATGTGTGATTTCTGATACATCTCATATAAATACGATGCATCTGATATATTTAGATACGTCTCGATAAAGTTTTTATGTCGCAAACTTACGTTCTACACTGCGTCCCTCTATCGTTTTGACAAACACGGGTTTGCCAGCGTCGCTGGTGAGAGCAACTTTGGCCGTATGACTTTCGACGTTGGATTCCGCTGTTCCGCCGGTGATCGCAGTCTCATAGGAAGTTATGCTTTCTGACTTTTGATCCAAGCCCTGCATCGAGGAAGATGTCTTCGTCTCCATAGCGGACGTTGCTGATTCCATGTATGATGACACGCCATTACGACTGCTCGATACCGACGAGTACTCTACAGGTGTTAGTTAGAAACAACCTTACTACTCGATACACAGTACGTTCACAGAATTCGAATGAAGAATTCAGAATTGTTTTTTCTTCGTTTCTCCCAAGTGTTACGCTCAAGCAAAATAAAGCGATATCATTATAATAGTTTAATAAACAATCTTTAAATTCGTCAGAAGAACAGACTCAAGAAAAATCAATAGGAGATTTTCTTCTTTTATAATTTGGCACGTAAACGTAATATGTAATACTTGCTCTGCATGGAGAGAATTTTATAGCAAAAATTACTTTAAAATTTTGTAACTGAAGGACACATTGTCTCTTATTTTATTACCATCCTACCATTTACTGTTTATATTTTAGGAGCTGGAATCTCTGTGGAAACTTTGCTGTATTCCTTAGCAAGATAAACTTAACTGATAGTTCTATTATTGCGTCACAAAATAACATAAGGTCTGTTCTTTTTCAGAGAACTTCCTGAACTAATGTACACTAGTATAACAAGTTATAGTAAAACAGAATATATTCGTTTCACACTTGCATCAATATACATTAGTTCAAAAAGTTCTTCAGAAAAGAACAGGTCCGTAGTAAAATAGAAAAGAAATTATATGAAAAAGAAAACTATAATATATTCTCTTCATGTACTGCATGACGAAACAAGTTACGTGGCCAGAGCTACGACATACATTCAATGCGACATCGCTAGCTTCAACGAGTTGCCACAAGCGACATCGAGTTACGACGAAACGTTCCTACCGACATTGAATACTTCAATTGGTCTCGCAATCGAGCTTTTACCTTCCACGACTTTCGAAGAGGCGCTATACCGACTCGCGGAGTATCTTCGAGACATGTCTGCTTCCTCGACCTTGGTCTTCTTCGCTTCTGATGTGTCAGCCGCCTTATCCACGCTCCTCTTCGCGTCACTCTCCTTCTTCTTCTCCACAACCTTCGCGGAGTCCTTCGCCGAATCTACTGCTTTCGACGGAACACTTGGTTTCGCCTTCGCCTCTTCCGCTGCTTCCTCGACCTTGGTCTTCTTCGCTTCCGATATGTCAGCCGCCTTATCCACGCTCCTCTTTGCGTCACTCTCCTTCCTCTTTTCTATAACCTTCGCGGAGTCCTTCGCTGAATCTACTGCTTTCGACGGAACACTTGGTTTCGCCTTCGCCTCTTCCGCTGCTTCCTCGACCTTGGTCTTCTTCGCTTCCGATATGTCAGCCGCCTTATCCACGCTCCTCTTTGCGTCACTCTCCTTCCTCTTTTCTATAACCTTCGCGGAGTCCTTCGCTGAATCTACTGCTTTCGACGGAACACTTGGTTTCGCCTTCGCCTCTTCCGCTGCTTCCTCGACCTTGGTCTTCTTCACTTCCGATGTGTCAGCCGCCTTATCCACGCTTCTCTTCGCGTCACTCTCCTTCCTCTTCTCTACAACCTTCGCGGAGTCCTTCGCCGAATCTACTGCTTTCGACGGAGCACTTGGTTTCGCCTTCGCCTCTTCCGCTGGCTTCGGATTGACGGTCGCTTTCGGCGCTTTCGATGGATTGACTTCCTTCTGAACCGGGGTAACCTGTACTTCGGGTGATTTCGGATTCGCCTGTGGCGGCGGTTCGACCTTCACTGGTACCGGCACTGGTTTCTCGTCGCTCTTCGATTCCTCCTTGGTTTCCGGCACTTCGGTTACCTGAAGGTCGTCCGCGGCGTGCTCAGCAAGAGCGACCAAGTCACTGGCGTATTCGCGGATCTCTTTGAGCCAGTAGCCTTTCACGGGGTCCTTGTGAGCCACTAAAGTGATAGGATAATTGGGAACAGTTGGATTGTGTAGCTCGAAGGATCGTATGTCCTTCAGGTGGTCTTTTACTTCTACTTCTGGTAGCTGGAACAAGAAGGCCGAGTTCGTTATATCGTTCCATGCATCGTTCAATCAAATTTATAATATAATCGATACTGTTGACTGTTACTTACTCGAATAATATCCTTTAGGACGAAAACCGACCTGTCTTCCGATATCCGCCTGACCTTGCAGACGAGGATTCGCGCTTTGAACAAGAACAAGTATCTCTCCTTACTTCTTCCCTCTTTATCGATAACTGTATACCATTCCTGGAAACATGAACACAATTAGTCGATGGATTGAATGCTTTGCAATTGCAACTCTCGTATAAGTCGATATATTATAATAAAGGACAGTCAAGAACGAGCAAATTTATTATGTTGAAGTACTGAATAGACAATTTTATAGAAACAAACTGCATATATAGAAATCAATTTCGACAAATTTCGAATATAGAAATAAACTAAAATTACAGAAATTAATTTCTTGCTCGATGTAGTTTAATTCGCTCGTTCTTTTTTTTTTTTAATTAATTAATGCTAATTCCTTTGAGCACGAGTATACCTACGTGCGTGAGCAATCTACCAAGTTTGTGAATGTTCCCTTTGTAACCCTCGATATTACTTATGAACTTATTGTCGGTTGCCCTGTGAGGGATTCCTAGCATCAACTCTAGCGCCTTTTGCAGATCGTCGCAGTTTTCGCCTAATCGGGTCGAATATTTCACCAGCTCCTGCGAAACGGTAAGCGCATTTTTCTCAATTAATTCGTTGGCTCTTACGTTTAGACGCGAAGACGGATCAATATGCGATTCGTTTCGGTAAGCGCGCCCACGATTACGATGAAAAATAAGGATTTGCGTAACGGGCGCGCGCGCAGCTCGCCTAATCGTCCTTGGACCAAATTAACTTGTATCGCAGTAGATACACTTCGATGCGCTTTTATTACCATCGCTCGACGCTTCACGCTTATATCCGACTTGTTTGCACGAAATTTTTCTATGGACCATATCGTGGCTCAAAAGATAATCCGCCGTGTGGACCAACCGCTTTTAGCTCTCTAAATCTGTAACGACGCCCACACACGTTTATACACGCAAACCCAAAATAATCTGTAGCGTCATTTTTATACCGGGTGTCCGCATTATCAAAAAACATTCTTCGACAGATTCCACGCCGATCTCTTCTCTCGCGCTGTTTATTGCGCATCGCGTTCTCGTCGCGAAAATATCTTACACTAAAAGCGCGAGAGGCTCGCGTGATTGCGAAAAAAGAAAACAAGAACCGAATTCTTTTCACACACCCGAATAAATGTGTGCGCCTGTTTCAACTTGGCAAATTTATTGGTAGTGACAAAGATAATTAGCTAATGACATTTGTATCGGACTTCGAGTTAATTCTGATTAAAAAAGAAAACACTAAGGTCGGTTTTTTAATAGCAGTTTAAACTTGAATTCAAGTTTAAACTCTATTCTAACAATGCGTTTGTTTTGTTTAACAGTGTTTGAAATCTAAGTTTATACTATTATTGAAAAACCGGCCCTAAAAGATACTTCAGGCAGTACTTACTCATTACTACTCAGTACTACTCAGAAACAGATTAAAATATCCGTCCGTGTATTGCAAACCTGTTCCAAAAATAACGGACTTGTTGATGAGAACGAAGTAATAATTAGCTAATGGCATTGTATCAGACTTCGGACATTAATATTCATCGCGCTTATTTTAGAACACGTGCTTATGCGCGTTACCGTAACGGCGGTCTGCCGCGATGATGATATGTGTTAAATAATGTGTAAAGCCAAGAATCTTCAACTTAAGAATGTTTTGCAGTCGCATTTAACCCACTGAATTCTTGTTGTCTCGTTTCTGCGGGCATCCGGCCCAAATAGTATTTAACGTTGGAAATAGCATTAATGTACTTGGCTTAAACGAACGTCGCAATGAATAAGCTCTGTTTCAATTTTTAGACAATTTTAATATGCTATCTCAGAGCCTGTTCTTTGTTCCCTCTCCTCTCCCATCTCCCTTACACATTTATATTCTATATAGAGAGGAGTTTATAATAAACATTACTACCAAATTTTTTAATTGAGAAACATAACACATTCTATTTTAATTTACTGTCCTTCCGTTTCGTACACTGAGAAAAAAACAGTTGAATTGACAAAATCAGCGATCACTAGCCTTCAAAAAAATATGCCTATTGAGCAAATTACACGTTCGTGTAATAATAAGTTGCGTTCATATAGTTATGAACTAAATCGCAATCATTAAATGTATATATGACTTATCACAGCAACTATATAATTTATTCAATCGTTTAAACGTTCGCTTAAGCGAATTTTGTTTATTCTAGTAAAGTCTCATTAACTCTCTCTCTCTCTCTCTCTCTCTCTCTCTTTCAACTATTTTTTTCGGTGTATGTATTATATTTATATTTGAGAAATTATGCTTAAAGTTTACTGGTAAAGTATTGATTATGTTCTTTAGGAAAATAAACTATACTGAGTCTATTTTTGCGCTACTAGAAAACAGGGTAAGATTGACATAAATTAGAATTTATATGAAAAGAAGCTACAATATTCTGAAGAATAATCTAAAGCTGCAATATATATATATATACACACACACACACACACATACACATACTCGAAAAGAAGCCACGATATTCTCTCCATGTAAAAATTAAATGCAAATGAAAACAAACGTTTCTATGTTTACAAAAAGTCACTCCCGTCATTCATACCGAAATATTACGGCGAATATCGTTCTTGTATGAATAGATAAATAAATATGAAGAAGTGTTGATATATCTTGTAGAGAAATAAATTTCAACATCTGGCATATCTCGTTAAGTTCACACCCGGGAGCGGACGCTAATCGAAAATCTCGAGTTTTTTTGGTACATACATACTGAAAGCTTTGTAAACGATGCAGGTGATTCGCGCCTCGTTAACTCGCGTGTGTATTTCGAGTGAACGGGCGGCAATTATGTCGAGGAGACATGATTTCAAGGCAAAGTGGAAAGCGCTTTAGCGCCGCGCTATTTCCGTCTGGTGCAATAAAATTCGAGTGGAAATATAGGTCGGGCTATATGTTCGTATATTCGGTTGTTCGCGATTGTCACTATACGCCAATTGAGTTGGCAATTTTCTCGGCGAGGAAAAAAGGTGTCAAGCGTGTATGTGTGTGTGTGTGTGTGTGTGTGTGTGTATGTTGAAACTAAATGTCTCGCACGCTGTTTCGAAGAGAATTTGATCAAAGGTAAGACTGTCGTCTCTTCTATTTCGCCTTGAAGATATCTCTCGACAACTCCGCGACAGTAACTCGTTACTTCTCACATTCAGTCGATGTGACTTTGAAGATGTCCGTTTTCTTGGGAATAAAAACCCAGTCGACATACCTTCAGAAGGAGCTGGTAGTCGTTTATGCGTTGTATCGGGAGTTTCAAGTGTTCGGATATGCTCTTGTCGTCGCCCAGAGTCTGGCTCAACTCCTGCAAGAAACGAAATGATGGCGTGAGTAATCAGTGTGTGTACATTCGTCAACGTCGTCGGGAACATTGTCACTGCTAACTATTTTATTCAGCAAATTACTCTTCTTTAACTTCCTCGTTCAACAGAAAATGTCTAATCGCGTACACGCTAAAATTATGGTTTGAAGACACGAAACACGCAGCGGAAACAGTTTTCTCATAATCGCACAACTCTGCAATTGTCACAACGAGTTACACGAGAATTTTCGTGATTCGAATTTTCTCCGGCGCGTCAAAAGTGTCCCTCCAATTACTTCCGTACGTCGATCTAAATCCGCGACTTTGTCCGCGACAGAAAAAACAGTTAATACTCACTAAAAACTATAGTATTAAAATTAAAAATCATTGTTTCATGTATAAATAACAATATATAATTTTATTGTAAGAATTTTAAAGTACTGAATTTCAATAATGTTGTAACTTGATTTGAATATTATAGGTCTAATAAGAAATACAATATGATTGTTTTGATGGTGATAATTTCACACTCTTAAAAACATCATATTCTCAATCCAGAGTATTTTGTACTCTTTCCATTAGTGAACATTATTTTTAAATAATAAGAACAGATTTTTCTTTGTTAAATCATATGAAATGTACTCTTTACAAATAACTTACATCTACGTTTAACGCTATATAATCTCACGTGAAAAATAACATGTCAAAAATAAAAAGATATCTTCCAAACAAGAATGTTCTTTCTTTATTTTTCTATGTACGAAGTTACGACATCTTTATTCACACAACTCTTCTTCTTCTTATCTAAGAACACTTATCCCAACGATCAGATTTACAACCCTTCTGCAATAATAAATACGACTCGATGAGTCCAACTGAACTCGTAACCCTTTAGCGCTGCGCACGCCAATTCGTGTCCACGGGATATCCGGGGTCGCGACAAAACGCGGTCAGAAATCAACGCTCACCAAGGGAAACACGCGGCGGGAAACTGCAAAGCACAACGCGTTTTCTCGCGCTAACAAATCAAGAAACGTTTCGACAACGGGACGAACATTCGCCGGACGCGTAATTCGACACCGCCGGCATCAGATCTGGCGTGAACACATGTATTTTTGGATGTGTGACTGGATTTTGCATGCAGCACCGCTGCGGGTCACCCCCGCGCGGGACTCACGACGGCGACCGGGGCGATGTTGATGACGCGCGACTGACGCGTCGCGAGGAAAGACAATCTCGCCGCTTCAGAAGAACGCAACGCGTCAGGGAACCGAATCAAACGCGAGTCTAGGGCTCGTCTTCTTCTTCTTTTTCTTCGCTCTGAATGGCAGGCGCACCTTGGTCGCGAGTCGGGAGCAACCCGATCGCCAATCGGTCGAAGGAGTCGCCTCGTGGTCGACGTCGCCTCGCAGAGGGTGTCTCGCGCGGCCGCTCGCAGACTGCACCCGGAGGTTTTCCCGGCACCCAATCGAGATTCAATGACGCGAAGATTCACACGCGGTGTGCGATGGTCAGCGGATTCGCGGCACTGAGAGGAATCTCCGGGCGCGCCACCGCCGTCGCGGCGAGAGACACTCAGAAGACCAATACGGCCACGGCTATACTTAGACGCCGAACAGATTATTCGCGTGGACTGACCACACGCGCGAAAACAACGCGCAGATCGTGCAGATCGCACCGTCGGCTCGGGGCCTCCGGCAAGTTACAAGTGACACGTTACTTCCCAACAATCCTGAAGGAAATCTCTCTCTCTCTCTACAATATAATCGGTGTCTTCTTCACTGAAATGTGCTATACTTATAGCCGATGATTCAGTTATAAATATAACATTGCAATCAGCACAGTATCTCACTGAAAGGATCAGATAATAGCAGCGACTGTTACCATTATTGACGTAAGCAGTGCGTTTGCACTTGCACGCAAATTGAAAATCAGTAAATATTCACTGATCATCGGTGAAATATTTCTTTCACTGCTTCAATTAGACATATTTTTACTGATTCTCTTTAAGAGGATGCATGTCCTTCTAAATGTCTTTTAGAAAGTTATGCTGTTCTCAAATCATTCATTATATTCGCTTTGCGTCAACCCATTTGCATCAATAAGAATTTGAAAAATATGTCCATGTTACTGAATTGTTATATTCAAATCGACATTAAATACGAAAAAACCAATCAAGAATACTGGTTCTGCGTGTGAAATTATGCAATTATAAAATTTAATCGTTATACATTTGATCTTTTGCGGGTGCTCCCGCTACGTGTTTCTTTAAACCGCAACTTTTGTAACTTTAGCATACACGTGATCAGGCATCCTCTGTCGAACGACACAACTAAAGAAAATGAATAAAAAAAAATTTACCAAATTTTACGATTCAACTCATTTTCAGTAAGAAATCGCGATTAGAGAAATGAACGAATATATTCGCTTCTGAGGTAAACAAGTCAAACACTGAAGAAAACTAAAAAGATGTAACTCGAAGTGCCTTGGTCGAAGTCTCTTCTCGAGGAGGAGGAAGTTTGAGATATCTCGAATCTTGAGAAGAATACTTCTTTCCCAGTAGCACGCATCTCGACGCTATCGGTTGTAGGTAAGAGAGAACGAAAGATGTTCTCTCTCCGTCCGTTAAGAATAAACTCAGCTATTTTAAGGGCTGGACAGACGCCCGCGCGTATCCCCGTCCGTTATATAATTACACATCATTTTCTCCAATCCATACCGCCGCGTATCGAACATGGAAACGCGCTGGACGTTCGCGATGCGCTCGCCGCGTCGGATTACAAATTAATAGTTAGTTTAGTCTTTGAGATCAAACTCAATTAACTGCTCGCTGAAAGCGGACGATTTCCGATCGATCTAAATAATTTAAAGTCAATCAAGCGATTAAAAACGTTTTAAAATATAATATTAATTTATAATATTTTTATTTCAATAGACGGTATTTGCAAAATTACTATTTACGACGAATATTTATTGCTCTGGTTTGATATATCGTACTATATCAAACCATATATCTATATATTTCTATTAATTTTGTTGTCAGCCTTGATAATTTTAATTAGCGCTCGTATCATGTTGAACATGCGTCGCATGAAGTTGTTTGCGTATATTCACACACGGTTGGCACAATGTGGCACAACCGCTGGATTTTGCTTCTACGCGATTGTATCTTTGGATATTTGTGACAAGATGAGATATCGGTTCGCCATGACACAGTCTTCATATTTATGTTAATCATACATATTATCGTTAATCTCGAGCTGTCGCGACTCGTGTGTTTATATTCACGACGCTATGCTAGTCGGGTCTGATTTAAAACAAATCTCCAGTACTTTAAAATTTCATTAATCGACCGAAATTGAACTCTTACCTCAAAGTATTCGCGCACTTCGTTGTTCGTCTGCAGAAATTCTTGAGCGGCGGGTTCGTCTCTGCAGTACGCCACGTGCTTGTCAAAATCTCTCTCCTGAAAGAGAAAGACACTTTATTACGATCAATAATTCCATTCAATCATCAGCAACGTTTCCCCCTCGACAAAGCGGGACATTTATTCGCGGAGACGATTATTTTTGATATTTTGTATGACATCGAGGAATGTCTCGCATCGCTTTGTTATCTCGTCTTTTCACACTAAGACAGAAGTAATCTGAAATCCTGAAATCTCGTAGATAACTCTCGCTATCTGTTCGTATTGACGCTTTTCGATTAGGTCTCTGAATGGAATACACGTCTGACCAATCATGTGTTTATATCACTGCGATGACAAAGTAAGTAATCCGACGCGATCTGAGTGAAATGTCATTCTCACTCGCTATACTTGATACACTGAACTTTCAAATCGCTACATTCCGAAATAAGTACACGGAAAGAATGCTACGTAGTATATTTTTTCATATAAATTCTTCTCAATCTTACCGTATTTTCCAGTAATGCAGAAATATGCTATCATTTGAATGTATCTTGCTAAGAAACATAGTAATGTTTTTAATAATATAAGCTATTAAATTAAGTTTATAATAGTATAACTACGATTCCCAGTAAATACCAACTGTCAGTAACACAACATCAATATTATTTAATGTAAATGCTATATAACACGTGTCTTATGCAACAGTTAAGTGGGAAATTATATAATAATGATATAATGTCTCTGCTAATTTATGTGTTTACTAAGCTTCTGAAATATAAATAGCATGTATAAAATGGAAAAATAATTGATTAAAGTAAAATGTCGACATGTTTCTTCGTTACAAAATTTTGCTATAAAATTCTTTCCGTGTAAAATTTATTGCCTTTATCACGAATAAATCGTCTTCTCTTCGCAACATCTTGGCTTTACTTTTCCGTACTTCAGAGAAGTGATCGCACACGTGCGAGTAAATCGATGCGAAACTTCCTTCGATGCCTGCAACATCATGTTAATATATCATTACTCGTAATATCGAGCTGAGTTAACTTACTTTACTTAATATTATTTTAAATTCATTAGCGTCGTTATTCTAATAATAGAAACTAGTGACGATAAACGCTTACCAGTCTCAAGAAAGTTTTGCCGAGCATACGTGGTTGATCCGCATAGTACTTGACGCCCTCGATCAACACCCTGCCGAACGATCTAAGTAAGGCCGGAATTAATGATCATGCCAAAGTCACACCACGCCTAACATGCTAACGGAGGTTGCGTCGTCTTTTAGAGTGCGACACGGTAAGTTGCAAGAGGTCATAGATACCAAGAGCACTGGCACTTCGGTTATCGGTATTATTCACTAATATACGTGGGGACGGGTCTTACGATGAAGAAATTAGAGTCTGGTTTAATCTGGGAGAGTGAAACAACAAGATCAACATCGGAGGAGCGCCGACGAGTCCGCAGGCCGGTCGAGTTAGCACACGGAAAAAAAGATATGGTGCACATAATCAGAAGTATCTAGTTGTGAGCAGCATAGTTGCATCATCTTAATTTGTGTGATGATAATACCTCATACATCCTTTAAAATCGAAACATAAGACATCTTAAAGACGTCTTAAAGACGCATTAGAGATATCTTATATTCCAACATCTTTGAGATGTCTTTGAAACGTCTTTTAAACGACTTATGTTCCGATCTTAGATGTATGTTGTGTGGGTGTATGATTGATTCAACTCAGTTACTTTGGTACATCATATATATTACTATATTGATGTAGTTGCACGTGATCTATTGTGTGGCAACCAGAAATCGGTTGGGATGACATTTACCATGGATATTCTAATTGGAGCAACCAGCTATCGTAACTGCTGCAACGCTGTAACTCAGCAATTGCTCTGTGGTTGCGACAATCACATACTAGTTGTTCCATATTTCATCATTGAGTCTGGTTGGTACAACCAGATTTATACGTGAACTAGCCATACTGTTTTTTTCCGTGTAATAATAATCAAAACTCTCCTCTTTCTCTATCTGGTAGATTGATATCGTGAGTGATGAGACGGTACTTTCGTACGGACAATTTGCGACCGTTAGACAATGTTTGCGTTTACTTTAAGCTTTACTTCAACATTTTCTAGCGAAATCAGATTTGTTACGTGTGAAATCTCATGTCTAATATTATTAAGTCAGGGCATTGTAATCAACTTTCTAAAGAGAAGCGATGGTTTAGATATCAATTAATCAATATTAATTTCTTGGGGTACATGTACAAAGAAGCACACCACCACACAAAATGTCTTTCAACATTGAACTTACATCTTGTATATCGTACTCCGCTACAAGCGAGAGAAACGTGTATGTGTGTATTTACGTGTGTAGAGCGAATTGTTTACGTATGTTTGCGAATTGTGATCGTGTGACACACATTGATGTACGGACGACATTTCTTTACCAAGTATAAAAAAGTATAAAGTATATAAAAGTAAGAAAATTTTCAGAACAACTTTAATTAATTCTAGCAAATTATCAAAACCTCAAATGCAATTTACTTATATTAACTTTAAGAGAAACGATATTTGCCTGTGTTTGCGTATCTTTCTCTGATGTTTAGTGTTGCGATTGCGAGTGCCAGTAATGGTATTCCTTTGTGTAATTACCTGTGAGATTGTCAGATTTACAATATGATAGAACAGTCACTATTCAGGAAGTAGAATTTTTCACCGATTGAAAGATCGACTGAACCAACGAATGGGAGTGTAAAATGTCCGACTTTGTACTGTGAAATGTATCAATGAATGCTCGTCTGACAGTGTCGCAGTGCGCTTTCTCGTTTCACTACGTGTACGTCGCCGTAATACATACGTGTTGTGAAAGTCAGCTATTTGTTTCAGATTAGTGAAAATAATTTCTTTGTTGTCTCGCACGGCACGCGGGACGCCTGCATTATCGAGGGGCTTCAAGTAACGTTCGACCACCAATTGAAGATCCCTGCCGAATTCCTCCTCTGTCTCGATTAACTCCTTTACAACAGCTCTGCGAACGTAAAATACATTAGTACGAAATGAAAGAATTCAGTGCGATTTTTTCGAGCTTGCAATATACGAAATGAGATATGTAATTACACGGAGAGAATTTTACAGTGAAAATTACTATAAAAATTTGAACACTATAGAACTATAGTCGAGAAATACATCGACGTTTTGCCTTAATTTATTATTCTTCCATCTCATATGTGTTATTTATATTTCAAGAATTAAAATCTACTCTTAAGAAATATGTTGTTCATTTGCAAAATAAATTCCACTGACAATCTATTCCTGAACTGTTGTTAGAAAATATAATAAAATTGAAAAAAATATTAATATGAAAAAAGAAAGACTATAATGTTCTCTCCGTGCAGAGAAGAGATTCTCATTTAAGGAAAAATTTAATGTTTGAGAAATTTTGAACTAACTGGATAGAGATACGTACTCTCGTCGATAATGAGAATCCTCCGGCCGTTGAGACACAAAAGAACTTTCTTCACTGAGTGCCGTTTGCATTAAAATTGACAGAGGCAACCAGCCTTGCTTGCCGTTGGATGTACGAACGTATACCCTGTAAAATAACAACTATTGTTAGATATAGATATTCGCATGTGATTATAAATTACAAATAAAGATTACATAAAATTACAAATTTACACCTGAAGTTATGCAAATATTGTAAAGAGATTTCACCTCGCGAAACTCGGAAAGTATACAAGCAACGAATATATACATAGTCTTCGTAACGAAAGATTTAATACAAAATTTTTTAAAATTCGTTAAAGACGAATTTTTCCTTAAATTATCATATTCGTGTATGATTACGGGAACTTCGTTATTAGATCCAACGGTAAAGTCTGCAATCAACGTTCGCCGCTAATTTTACATCGAGTTGGACTCGGCCAACCGTGAAATCAGATCTGATCGAATACGATCGAAAGGGGTGATATAGATAGACATTCGGGTGCGTGGGAGTCGCGCGGTTATATTTGTTCGAAATGACTAAGGCTGCATGCCACATCTTGTCATCGAAGTCAACGTCCATTCACAAAACGCAAAATCCGCTGGCAATGTGTTCGAATTGCTGCACACAACGAGTTTGATTTTCCGAGACGTGTTCTCGTATCCTCATGCAACATTTACAACTTTACAGACACAAGTTCTATTATCCGAGATAAGAATCTCGTAAATTCACACGTATTCCAAAAGTACCGTAATACACTCTGCACGTGAAACAATCGACACGGCGATGTTTCTTCCGCGATTATTACGCTTTCCGAAGCTATTCTTGCGCGTGTATTCACCCGACGCCGATGAGTTAAAAAACGCTCTGGATAAATCTTCGTGACGCAATCTCAAAAGAATAAAAATTTATTTTATAATTCACGATTACATATCTCGATGTTATATCAATCAACGTAAACCATCAGGAATTATATTAGATATTTTCATGAAATTGCATTTCTGCAGTTGTAACCTACGGTGATTTGATATAACATTTTCCTGATAGAAGACCATTAAACAATTAGCTTTCATATATGGTAAATCTTATACACACAGAGATGACGATTTTTAGGGTTAAAGCAGAAAACGAGACGTAAGCGTCGTAATCATAAAGTAAGGCAGAGAAAAACGTAAACGTAAGTCATGAAAGGCTATTAGCCTTACGTTTTTCTCTGTCTTACTTTACATTTACGACTACGACGCTTATGTCTTGTTCTCTGCCTTAGCCCTTACTTAGCTCTTTCTTTGTCGGTAGACCAGATTACGATCTGACAATCCGAATTAACAATCGAAATGCACAGTGATAGAAGTCGAAGGATCCGCTAGATTTTCATCGACTCATCCACGAGATACGAACGTCCCCAAGCTGCCGATTGTGAATTCAGCTTCCCGTTAATAAGACGTCTCCTCGACACTGAGACATTCTTTTCAGCAATAATTCACGCGCTATCGGTTTTACGGGCAGCCTGGCCAGTCGCCAATCACGCAGAGATACGCGCGGAGATATTATTGCCTTGGACGTTTACAAATGCTTAATCTTCATTAGCGTCGTCGTAATTCAATGGTGCTGAATTTATTCCGGATCCGCACAAGTCCAAATTTGCGCTCAATGGGACTAAACATAATCATGAATTCTCGATCTTGTCTGTCGCAACTCGGAAAATACGCTCACTATGAACGTGTAAAATGTGCCGATATTGACTGCGGCTAGATTTTTACCACTTTCTATTAGGAGACAGTCTCCGGTTGTTGCACGTCGTGACAATCATGAAAATCTATCTGGGACTGATCGTTTCGAAATCTCTCGTACGCAAAACTCAACGCTGGATTCGCGTCCACCCGATTACAAATTTATGCCATAGTCCTGATCAAGTTGATCCTAATTATTAAGTAAAGTAATCATAAATAATACAATGACGAAAGACTCCGATTGTGAAGAAAAAGAAAATATTAAGGAATATTAAGAACCAATCTCAGGTTTTGGCGCGCATCAAATATTATCTATATAAGTATTATCTATATATAGAGTGTCCCATTTTAAACAAACCAGCCGAATATCTTGAAAACTGAGTCCGACAGACAAAAATGTTTCAAACAAAATTTATAGGATTTTGAGGGAGAGAAAAGATGATGACTTCGAATTTTAACTACGGTTATTTGCCAAGATCGTGTGGAATTTTTTTTAATAGAAAGTAGTATTCTTTGTAAAATATTCTAAAAAATCGCTCAATTCTGCGTAGAAAATTCATAAGACATGTACAATCTAAGTCTAATAATTTAGGAGTTATTTAATAATAAAAAATGCAATTTCGCTGATTTTCGTCAACAATGATGCACGCGCGAATTTATGTATTTGAGATATTCGACTGGTTTAAAATAGGAGATACCCTGTATAATATAATATCATATACTAAAAGAATACTTGCACAAATTTTATGTTTTCTTTTATTTGTGCAAATCTTGATACCGTCATTTAATAATCGTACAATAAAAGCAAAAGGTATTGCTTCGTACTATTAATAATTCTTGTTATTAATAAAGTCCACTGATTTTCGCTGCGTTACATGACTTATCAGAAGCCAATAATATCATTATCAAACCAAGCAACTGATTGGGGTCTGATCAGAACGATGAAATAAATTTCTAGTCGAGTATACGAGACCTAATCGCGATTTCTCGCGTGCGCGCTTTCGGCCCAAGCTGTATGCGATTCCGTGTGGTCTCCTGCCGTAGTCTTCGACGAGCTATGCGTTAAATCTGGAAAACGTCCTCGTCATACGTTACGGCCACTCCACGTTTGTTAGTTCATCGTTAATGCAGCGTGTGCAGCTCGCATGACGCGTTTCACTGTGCTTCGCACGCAAATTTAGACGATGCCTTTCGGGAGCGATGAATCAGACGTTCGTCTGCAAAGATCGCAGGCTTCCCCGTCGGCTTCCCCGCATCTTGTGAGACGGTGACAGTTGCAATTGATAATTGTTGCATCGGAATGTTCGGAAGTATGCAGCGCCGATGATGGCACAGCTAAATTCGATCGTTAATTAAGACATTAAGATACGACAAGTCACGTAATGAAGTCATTTCAAGTATTGAAATTTTCGCCAAGTTGTGATTGGTCATCTCGCGATATCAATTGTTGTCATAATATTGCGAGTTGTTCGTAAAAAATTCATCTGCCATCGCTTTGAATTCTGATTTCATTCAGATTTGTTGTTTGGAGCCATTTAGGGCTGAATGTCATTTTGTGTTAAATCATTTTGTTTTATCATTAATGAATATGATGAAATAAAAATCCAGGTTGAACGTTGATACGTGTAGGCAATGTAAATTATGCATAAGACACATCATCTGCATACATTGAGAGAAAAATATCTAAAAAATAAAAAATTATTTGCTGAGTACTAATAACGTATTTACATATATTAATACAAAATATTTTCCAAATAAGGAAATATATGTTTTCTTAAAACATTAGTTTTTCATGCAAGCAATTTTTTATTTTATTTAAATAAAAGAATTTAAATTTAAGTAAATAAATTATTAGTATCCATCAAATAAATAATTTTTATTTATTAGATTTTTTTCTTTCACAATTCAACGAGTAACCTATGAATGTCGTTTAAAGAATATATGCTTGCTCAGAAATTAATTCAGAGAAGTTTATATATTTCTTTCATCTTTCTAGAACCTTGTAAATGTAAATTTATGAACATTATTTTTCCTAAAGAATGCGTCAAAGTCCACAGAATTTTCTGGTTACATTCTTACCTACACACAAAAAATTAAATCTACCAATCTATTACGTGATGAAATGAAAATTACATGTAACTTGTTATCTTTTTTAAAAACATCAGATTTGCAATTACCCAAAACAGATACGGCACAACTGTCTCACAATATAATTACTTTCTTTTCTTGCATATTTTAATACGATTTGCAGTATTCTACATAATTTACATTGTCTATACGTGCATACATCATGTGGAAAATACGTGAACCATCCATGTAGACGTAATCTTGAATTGAAAAATTCTTGTTCACATATTGGTTGAACTATATTAACGTTACTTATTTATTGATGATGTTACTTTCAACGTGTTAAAGAAGTCTGAGAATGTTGCTCTGCCACGTGCACGTGTCCCGATCCGTCTTCGTCAACGTGGATCATATCATCGTCCACGTAATCAAGGCCAAAGAAAACGTCAACGTTCCGACAACGACAGGAAGTCGACGGTGACGTCTTCAGAACTCCCGCGCTGAGGTCTTCGGAACTTAATGTCGCAGCCTTCATTATTCTATTTTGGGGCGGTTACGGACTTTGTTACGAAAGCGCGAGATGAAATATCGTACGTCAAACAGCTAATTTACGCTTTCGGCGGTAAAATTAGTAAGCGGACATGGCGATCGCCCGCGATAATTTCGGCCCGTCGTACAATCTCCGCAGGCGCGAAAGTTAAGGTGAAAAGCGAACGTGTCATCCTGAGAAGCGCCGACGACGAGTCCCTACCTCTGCAGGCTCGAGGAGTCCGAGTCGGCGCCCGGGCCGCCTCGAGCACGCGGGTCCGCGTAATTGCGACGTGGCCGAATCGCAAGTTTGTGCTTGGCGGCCGAATTGTCCAGGGTATCGCCGACCTCGACCTCCAGATCGGGATCCATCCTCGCTTTCCTACAACAACGTCAAACATCCTCTGTAGAGAGCCACGTCGGCTCCTGCCGACAAAGCAGTCTTAACATTGCAATCCATACTTCTTTTTTTATTAACAAACTCTTTTTATACAGCCGGTTTGTGATATTCAGTTTTATTAATTCGTGTCAAAACTCTTGTTATTCCTCATCGCATGCCGGCGTTAACGATTACTTAAGCGATGCGCAACGCTCCAAGCGCGCTTGACATTTCGGGCGGGTGGCCCGAGTAGCGCGAGAATGCCATTGCGAGGATTGTAAACTTTTTGGCAACATGCTTGTTAATTTCGCAGTCATAGCCATTCGCTCCGCTAATTTTATGACGTGCAGCGACGTGCCCGTCCAAGCTTTCTCGCATGCTGCTTCTATTCCATCCTCTGACTCTTGCAGTATCTTGCAGAGTGTGTATTGAGAGAAGAATTGTTAATTCTATTATACATTGTTATCATTTTCGGCACCGACCGCACCTTTCTGTCGTTCTGACGAAAAAGCAGTGAAAGCAATATACACACGGAATAAAATTTGGTTTAATCAAATATTTGGCGGGACACATGAAGGAATCAGAATTCCGGTTGAAGTCACCAGAATTCTGTGTCCAAGTTAACAGGATTCTGATTAACCAAACAAGATTTCTAGTTAATCAGAACTTGCTACTGTTTTAAGTTGAATTGCAAGTAACAATGAGCTGGTTGGGAAAGAGCATTATCTTCGGTCGTCCGATTATTCGCGCATTCGAAGAGAGGAGAGAGCGAGCATGCGGGTGCCAATTTTCTTACACAACGTGATCGCCATTGCACGCAAGCGGCCGGATCTTTATGGGCGCATAAATCAGTCGCGAATTTTCTGTCTGTCAAGATATTCACAAATTCCGCGCAATACAACGGCGCGACACACGTATGCCCATGAAACCACTGTGCGCCGCCGAAAATAGCGAACGCGGCGAAGCGTGGTGATTCGCGCTCACGGGGCAACGATCCCTCGCTTTATAGTTTGACATCCGGATTAACTTAAAACGGCGATCCGGGAACCAGCTTCGATTTTCCCTACATAACTTGCAATTGCGTTTCTGGAATCGCCATGAGATGCGGACGTTTAACCCTTTGAGTACGGAGCACTTCAGAGAGCTGAACGATCACTAGAGACGGAATACTTTAGGCTGTAATGTATGTTAATCGGTGAAAGAAGTTATCTTTTGGAAAATCGGAAGCACAATGAAGACAAATAATATTTTTATCATCGTTAAAATATTTGATTATATATAATGAGTAATTTCTGTCATAATTCTATATGATTCAAGATTACCAAAATCTTGTTATAATTTTTATTATAATATTTTCTCTATGTAACAAAATGAACATCCAAATAAATATCTTATTTTTAGTGAAATTTTCTTATACCCTATAATCCTTATGGCCTTCAAAGAAATCTTCTAAAACTAAAAAGAAAATATTTTAACATTAAAAAAGTAATTCTAGCTGCAAAGTGCTATTTCCTGTAATTCTATTGTAATTGTAAACTCTTACCGAAATAGTATTCCTCTCTTCCAATGAAGTAAACTATCAAAAATCTATCCAGCATTTCTCTAACTTTTTACTTTTGAATCAAGAGGAAAATATGTTTATTTGTGTGAAGCTAATGCCCTTTTATCAGAAGAACAATACTTGTACTGCAGATAAAAAATAAAATTTCTTTAACTTTGAAATTTAATTTTAATTTTTTTTCCTCTTGGTTTTGGAAAAATCTTCTTAAAACTATATATGAGAGCATTCTCCTACGTAGTATCCCATATCCCGTGTACATATCGATTAGATTAAACTGAATACAAAATTCTTCTACCATTTTTGCAAACAACCACGTAAAATTTAGAGTTAATAATTCAAGAAAATTGACGAATGACCACGCGCGATACGGCAGATGTTAGGTCAAGCTAGAGTTCCTCTAGTCAGAGTTAGGATAAAGCATGATGCTTCTTGATTAGTTTGCATCTTGTCTACCATTTTTAGAAATGACGTAAGTAGGAGAGAAAAATTCTATTGAATGAAAGAATGAAAGAAAATTTCTATGACTAAAATGATGAAGCACATTGCAGCTTCTCTTTCACTCACTCACTCATTTTCTCTTTGCAAATGGCGAACCATGTCCTAATTCTGATTTGAGGAATCCGAGGTCAAACTGAACAAAAAATTCCCTACTATTTATACCTACGTTAATGTCCAATTATTAATTAAAGAACGTTGGAGTACATTATCGCGCGCAAATATTTTCCAATCTTCCTCAATCAGCAATTCAAAATTTTACATAGTTGTTTGCAAAATGGAATAGTTGTTTGCAAAGAGGAATTTTATGTTCAGTTTGATCTAATCTATATGTATATGAAATATATGGGATACTTTGCGTCAGACACTCAGTATATGCGTGCATAGTACTCGGAAGGTTAACGGTGGCGCAAAATGTCAGTTTATCACGCGTAAACAGCAGTCGCATTCAGACTCGCGGAGACAAGATCGGCTCGGTTAATGGCGCCCCTTCGAGACGCACCTGTTTGCCATAAATGCGCACGTCCGATCAATCTGCCGCGGCGACTTCATCGCTTCCGCGTCTGCGAGAACGATAGTCGAATATCGACGATAAACAGCCTTTCCTCCCTCCCTGGAGGGCTTTATCGTTATCGCGACGGGCAAGTCGAACGCGCGTGCGGACCGGGTTGCACGGACTATTTTCAGCCACGTGTCTCGTCCGCCTACGAAACGGCTCCCACCCACGTGTTACGCGCACGCCGAGTAATACGAAGACGGCGCGATGACAATGCGCGAGATCAAGGCGCTTCTCTCTTTCTCTCTGGCTCGCGGGTTATTCGCACGGGTGCAAATGAAAAATTGGCTTACTTCGCGGAGCCGTCATGCTCGATGGCCTCGACGATGTCGCCGACGCTCACGGTAAATCCATCGGTGTCCGCCACGTAGTCCTTCACGACGACGTAATTCTCCGAGGATCCCTGTAACAAAAACAGCGCGAATAGAGAAGTCTGTTTGTATCTGTGTTGTGTGTGTGGAGAAGCTATTCTCGACCTCTTTTTTGCTTGGCATACTTTCAACTCAGATGGAATTGCACTTATTTTGGTAGTCGGCGATTGCAAAATCGAATTGGATCGTATCAGCGAGGACTGAGGCTAAACTTTTTCAAAATCGCGAGTTTACCGTGTCACTTCCATTAATGTTAGGTTGTTCATAATAATTATCGATACTTTGTGATACTTGACACACATTTGTCCATTTCATCTTAATCTATTAGATTGGCGCAAAAGATCAGTCATTTTCTTATTAAATTGTCATAGGAAAGTATTTAGAGAAAAATAAAAGGAGGTTATTATTACTGGTTATAGTAACATTTGCAGAAAAATGATTCTTCCGATTATAATTCTTCCACTATACGACTATAATTACAAATACCAGATATTTTTCTCTCACATAGTGTATGTCACTTTCCATCCTTTTCATACTATACCCGCTCGAGAGCTCCATTCAGCTGAGCGACGTTCAATCGCTTCAGGTTCGGCGTGTTCTCTTCACTGGTGGAGCAAACGGTCGACTGTTCGGACTTTGATAATGTCGTGCCGTTGCTTTCCTGCTTGTTCAAGCTGCCGTTGGCGGAGCCATCTAAGCTGCTGGCGATCGAAGTCGTAGCAGTGAAGGTACCAGACATTAGCTCGCCATCAATGTCCACTTCCTTCGCCACTGGACAGCAATACATGGAGAAGCGGTGAGCGGTCGGCTGATTGAGTCTTAATGCCGAGAACACGTGCAGCGGCTCGAAGTGATGTATACCGTCCTCATCAAGGACAGTGTACGCGACCTGACCGGTCAACACTGACCTGGAGGCTTCTCTGGGCACAACCGCCTGCAGACCTTGCTTGAGGATCATAAAGATCGACGAGGGCTTGTGGTTTCTCTTCAGTAGGAATTCTTCCATCGCCAGGCTATTGTTGGCATGCAGCAACGCCGTCGGCACATCAGCTGAGGACAACAAAGGCCTTTCTTCGGGTACTATCATGAGCGCGGCGCTCTCTCTCACAAGAGTCCGTAGTCGAGGATCGGTTCTGGCTAACTCAGGATCACTGCACAACTGACCGAGTGCGTTCACGAAAGGTGGCCGTTCCTCAGCCAATTTCCGCATAATTGTCAGTCTCTTGAGCACGTCCATAGTCACCCGATCGTTCGCCAGTGCCTGAGTGGATCTCTCGTCGCTGATCACAGCTAGCAGGCTGCTCGCGATCTCGGACATCCCCAAGGCTCTGGCCAAGCCCACGGCTTGAAGAAGCATCTCTCGCACGTCTTGTCCTTGAGTATTCAACAGTTCCTTCACGCGAATCTCGCTGGATTTACGGACTGCTTGGACAATCGCCTTGTAAACCGTCTCCGCGGCTTCTTTCTCGGTCACCACGTCCGCCACGTGTTGCGACACATTCTCTAAGACGAGTGATACCAGCTCAGGATCGTTCTTCGAGACAGTGCGGAAAGCCGGACCGATCAAGTTGGTGCTGTGCTCCTCTTCGAGAATCATCGACAGTTTGTCGAGAACGGTGTCCTTCTGCAAGGACTGGCTGGTCACTGTGGATTTCAATATATCCACCTTGCTGTTCTTAGTCTCTAATAATTCCGACAGTGCGCTTTGGCAGAGGGAACTGCGATTCTGTGAGATCAGCAAAATCCTCAGGACCTCGTCCACAGATTGATCGACGTCACGATCATCTTGATGCAGTAACGCGTCGAAGGATCCGCTGATGGACGAATAAACGAAGTCCTGTGACTCGTTGGTGTTGTCCATCGTTGTCTGCTGATCGTTTGTAGATATAGTAAGAACAGCGGCTACGATCGCTGCTCTTATAGAGGCCCGAAGAGACTCAACGTTGTCGTCGTCGTTCGCATGGTTACTTTCGTCTTTTCCCACAGCCGTCGTCTGGATACCGTTGGTCAACATCGTTGTGTCCGCACGATTGGGATCTTGTTGTTGCTGTTGCAGAACTATGTTTTTTGCCAGCTGTGCAACCGTGGACATGACTTGCGCCATTTTCACGGCTGTGTTGCCGTGCAATCCCAGCTTGGTCGCCATCGCGAGAGCCTGCTCCAAGGCTACCGCCTTCGGATCCACGTCCATATCCACCGCCGGCAGATTCGTGGCGACTTTCCGCCCGACAGGTAATCCCGCTTCTGACAGCTCGCGCAACATCTTGGCGTCCACGCTGGTCTCACCGCGATGACGAAAGCGAGGATTATAGTGCAGGTGTTGCGGCCGCAGCAGCTGCAGCTCCTCCGGCGTGACTTCGAAACCTTGTACGGAGAACTCCAGTTCACCCTCAGGTGTATCAATAAGGTCAGGCGCAACGAAGCAGGGCCCCTCCTCGGTCTGCACGATCTGACCCGGCACAAAGGTCACACCCATTTCGCCAGCTTCTACCACGCGGCCGGGTACGAACCGAGGACCGTCCGAGGTGTCCACCACTTGGCCGGGCACGAATCTGGAGCCCTCTTCCTCGGTGTAGATCACTTGACCCGGGATGAACGTCGGTCCTACTTTGGTCTCCACGATCTGGCCCGGCACAAAACGTGGTCCATCAGCCGTGTCAATCGTCTGACCTGGCACAAATTTGCTCCCCGACCTGGTCTCCACAATTTGTCCAGGTACGAACTTCGGCCCGCTGCTGGTGTCGATTACCTGGCCGGGCACGAACTCTTCCCCTTTCTCCGTCATCACTATCTGTCCCGGCAGAAAGCCGTCCTCTGTCATTACACCCGGCACGAAACGTGGACCGTCCTGACCACCGCTGACCAATTGGCCGGGCACAATTCTCCTGCCTTCTGGTAGATTCTTCACGCTCTCTGGGAAGAACTCGATGCCTTTCTCGGTCTGCACCATATGGCCGTAGATCTCCTGCTGCTGCAAAGCGGTCACGACGCTCGCGGATTTTGGGTCCACCGCAATGCCAACAGTACCGACGTCTCGAAAGAGCACGTCATCAAATTTGCTCGCAGCAACAAACTCAAAGCCTTTCTCGGTAATGATGGTGCGCCCTGGGCAGAAGAGTACACCTTCTGGAGTTTTCAGCACTTGACCTTCGACGAATTTCTGACCCTTCGGCGTGTCCAATGTCATCCCCGGCACGAAGGTTGCAGTGTCTTCCGTTTCCACGGTGACTCCAGCCACGAAATGCTTCTCACCCGACTCTGTGTTTACGTACTGACCCGGAACGAACTGCAGACCTTCGGAGGTTGCGACAATCTGTCCAGGAACGAACTTAGGCTCGCCGCTTGGCGACTCAACGCATTGACCAGGCACAAACTCGTATTCGCCGTTCTGCATCCGTACGTTCTGCCCTGGTACGAAAACTTGCGCACCACAATAATCCGTAATAGTCTGACCTGCCATGAAGCGCAGTCCATCTGGTGTAGCTACAGTCTGGCCTACGACGAAGGTCCCGTTTGCCGTTACTCGACCAGCCACGAATTTCGGACCCTCCTCGGTTAATACCGTCTGACCTTCGACAAATTTGCTGCCGTCATGTGAGTGAAACGTTTGACCTTGAACGAAACGTTCGCCCTGCTCCGTCATGAGGGTCTGCCCGGCGACAAACACCGGCGTCTTCGCGCCGTCTATTTCATTTACGGTCACGATCTGCCCAGGTACCAGAAGAGGTCCGTTTGGTGTGTTCAAAGTAAGTCCTGGCACGAAAGCTGGTCCTTGAGGCGTCTGCAAGGTCTGCCCAGGCACAAATATCGCTCCGGATGGCGTGTGCACCGTCTGCCCCGCGACGAATCTCTCCGCAGACTTGATATCCAACTTGAGACCCTTGATGTTGTGCAGCGTAGTCTTCTTGCCAGCCGGTAGATTCTTCACCAGCTCGGGAACCTCCTCTATTCGCGGAAGACACTCCATCACCTGTTCCCCAGCTTGCAGCAGCTTCTCGCTTACGTTCGCGGTCTCCCGGAGATCATCCACGGGGACATCTCGAAGAACAGTCTGCAACGTCACATTTGGCTGCGCGATCAGAGGCGTCAACTGTTTCGCGATCGCGATCGCCTCGAAACCTCCCACGGACTCGCACACAGAACTGTACAGAACCGCCGATTCCTGGTGGATGACCTGCGGCACGACTCTCATCGGAACCGGCATTTTTTCAATCATCGGCACTCCCGCTGGTTTGTTCCCATTGTGCTGGAACGAGTTCCAGTTCAACACGCTGGAGACAGGCTTTTCCTTGAGCGTGTCCGAGATGTTCACAATGTCGGATGACCTCAGTCTCGCCTGCTTCATGTCCACGTGCTTCCAATCTTCCGTCATTTCCTCATTCATCTCCTCCTTGACACTTCTTAGCTTGAGCTGCTTAGCACGCCGGAGCTCTTCTTCATCGGCCACGCGTTCCTTTTCCTCAAAAATCCGCTTTGCGTAATTCAATGCGGTCTGCTTCTTCCTCTTTCTCTTTTTAGCCTCAGCCTCCTGTCTCTCTCGTTCCTTCAGCACTTCTTCGCGTGGCCCTAGACCGTCGTAGAGGTTCTCGAAATCCTCCAGATTCTTGAAATCCACGGACACATTCTTACCCTGCTTGAGCCTCAGCAGGACGGTGTCGCAGTCGCGCGACAACATCACGTCCTTCACGTCTCCGTCCCTAACGGCGGCCTCCAGCTTTGCCGGAAATACGAGACTGCATCTTCGTTCCTCCACCGTGTAAACAAACTTGGACCGCTCCTCTTCAACCGGAGTCTGCTTCGTGTTGAGGAGTTCGCGTAACACTTGCTGCTGCTCGCCCTCGCCTTCCAAGATCGGGAAGACATAACGATAGTCCTTCAGCACCACGTGCTTCTTCTTTTCGCCGACGATCAGGCCCGCGGTGTAGTGATGTGGCCCGAGACCCGAGGCGTTCGTGATCTTGCATTTCGACTTGTCCTGCGCGTGCACGCCCAACAACACCGGAATGTAGTGATGAGTCGGCAAGCCGTAGGACTTGCCGGTAATGCGGCAAAATCGCTTCGCGTCCGCTGGACTTATGGGCGGCAACAGCGGGAAGTAGTTCGGCTTGGGCAGGCCCCGGCTCCTACCTGTGATCCTGCAGAAGGACATTGTCCCGTGCTGAAATGATCATCCGCGCATTCGCGATGGATTCGCCCGTGCTTCTCCCTTCGACGGGATCGCGTCGTTCGCCTCAAAGTCGATCACGATTCTTCTTCTTTCTCTTAGAGATAGTTGTAGGTTACTTGAACTAATGTTAATCACGATTGGCAGTTAATTGATTGTAATTGGATATCAACACGTCGAAATCTTTCTTCAAATTTTTAGCAGTTCAAGTCTTGTTGATTTTCCAGTTTCAGGTTTGAGATGATGACCATTTGAGGCTAGATTCGTGTGGAATCCCCGACTGGCGCCTCGCGACTTCGAAGTCGAGGTCCGGAGCGACGACCCGGATGTGAATGATCGAACGTGATCTGTTTATTGAGACTTCGATATTTTGGGTGGTCTCAATCTCTCATTCGAGTCAATATCACGCGCCTGGGAGTTCTACGGCTTCGTGTGACTTCGACGAGCTCGCGGATCGGGAGATGATCGGCTCCAGACGCTGAAAGGTTCTCTCTGACGTCCCGTGGCCGATCGCCGCGGAACAAGGATTGATTTACGGCTCTTTCTCTCTCAGGATTAATGTTCGATCGCGTTGTTTATACCCGCGGCGTCAATGAATCCGTTATGCCCGCGACGCGGATAAATGAGCACCAGCTAGAAACTTGGCATCTCGACCACGAGGATTGCGACTTCGCGCTTTCGATCATTCGAGCACGCGTCACCGTCCGCGCCTCGCCCCCGTCGCGCGCTATCGTCCGTTGAGCTCCGTCCCGATGTCTTTCAGCACCGTTCGCGCGACCCTGGCCATAACTTTTCAGAGGCCGCGATCTTCCTCCTTCTCACGAAGGAGACAGTGTGTCACCGCGAAGGAGACGATCTCTCACCGCGTCTCTTCGTGTACGTACAACATCACCGGCGCCTTTGAACGACGATGGAAGAGCCAGTCACGGTCATAGAAAAGAAGAGGACTTCGATACACACACGCGGCCCAGAAATATTCTGGCTTCTTGACAGCCACTGATCGAGCTTTACGTCTCAAGAAACGAAATTCTCTCGATCCAGATGAGGAGTTTATCGATCAGTCACGAGTGGATTTCGGATTCTCGTTAGAAACAGCAAGTCGTTCAGTTCTTTATCATATATTCGCGTGCGTAATCGCTTGTTCTTGCTCGTCGCGGCTGCGATGTCATCCCTGCTTCCAGCTCGATCGAGGACGGACGGCCGCCGCGTTCTCCGTTCGTTCTCCGTTCGACTCCGTCGTCGACGTTAACTCCCCGTAGATCCCGTCCCCTCGCCGACTTAACGTTCCTTTCACCCTCACTGCACCGCGCTGCACTGCACTCACATCGTTCGACTTTTCGCGAGATGCGGCCCCCGTGAAAAGTGTATCGGCGAGACGCGGCGAAAGCGCGAGACTACTCACGGCGTACGAAGTGGCTAAGAGCCGTTTGCACGGCGAGAGTCTCTCTCGGCTCCCACGACCAGAAATAGCCTACCCTTCTTACACTTCTCCAATACATCTTTAGAACACGGAGTACACGGACCCAGATCTCTCCGTAGCGTCGCGTGAAGTCGCACACCGCGGCGTTTTCGGCGCTTGTCGGCGAAACACGCCCGAGGCGATTTTTCGCGTCGCCTCCGGGGATTCCCGCGGATCGGTAACTCCGGATTTCCCGGGACGGCTGAGATTATTGAAAACCATGACAGCGATCGTAACGCTCACCCAGAAAATATTTAGCCGGCGAGAACATGTTGTGGGTAAAAGGCGACGCGCAATATTGTGATTCCTTGATAGTCAATAATGTACATAGAGAAAATATCGTAGTAAAAATTACAAAGAAACAAAAATAAAATTTTTGTTATGCCGTACAAAATTATAACCACCGAAATTTCCATAAGGAACAAACAGTTAGCTCGCACATAAATCTAGTTATACCATTTAATATTGATTGGCGCAACTAGATTTATATATAAGCCAATCATACTGTTTTCCCCGTATATACATTTGTTGAAGAATGTTAAAGAATTATGCACGTTTAAATTTTTACCGTAAAATTATTGTAATTTAACGTTTTTTCTAGAAAAAATTCATTATTTCTGTAGTAATGCATACTACAATTTCAGTGCAGGCCTGGTTTTATAAAAAAAAAACATTGTAAAAAGAAATGTAATGTTAATGTAATAGAATATTTTATTTGTGTGTGCATTTTTAGTAATTAAATGGTCCTTTAAGATCTTCTAAAATTAACGAGAAATACGTACGATGTTAATAAAAATATGTAACAGCCAGCCGTTAGTAGTAATGATAATCAATAAATCAGACGGATAAATCGCGCGTTGTGATAATTAGCATAGATTATTGTCGATGATGATATTAACAATGTTTCCCAAGTATTTTTAGGCTGTCAAAATAATAAAGATAATAAAGATCAGTAATTCAACATAATAATACGTATAGACAATCATATATGTACATATAATACGTATATGAAATCTGTTTGAAATAAAGATAGCAATAAGTAAATAGCGTTTGCTGGAACTTCGTAAGAACGTGTGCAAACATCACTATAAATCTTAACGCGCTCCAAGATGCTCGGACAAATCGGCACGAATCCCGCGGCGATAAATAATTCTTCTGGTGATAAACAACTTGACGGGATAAGATCGCGCAAGGAGCATTTTATTTAGTGCGCGATGCACATCGAGTTGGGCATTTGATGGCGCACCGACGTATCCTGGCCGCGACGTGCGATTACGTTAGAATTTAGGAACGATGAACAAGACGAATGGCCGCTTTTGGCTGGCTTATGACGCGCGATTATTTGCTCATATATTCCTGGTCGAAGTATTTCATCGTGAGGCAATAGTCAAGCGCGCATCGGCGAATATCGCGAACATCGTATTACCGTTTAAACTGCCCGATCTCGAAAAGTATCTCGAAAAGTATCTCGAAAGTATCTCGAGCGCAAAAGTAGCGACTCCGCTATTCTCGTAAAAGAGAGTGAGTCAGACGGAAACGCGCTATCGACACTTTTAGACCTCGGTTGAATATTACGAGTATCGACTCCTGCGTATCGCAGCCGATGATAATCAAACGAAATCTGCAATATCTTTCTTTGACCCTTCCTCTATGATAGCTCTACTGTTGGAGACGGACGATACTGAGACTAAAACGCAGTTGCCAACGGGCATTCAGACAAGTATGTGATGTGTTAACTAATATGCATAGCCATAAAGATGTTGTAAATAATAAATCATGTCAGATATGTGGTTAAAGCCATTGGTATTCGTTTTTCATGACATGGCGCTAATACCACGACTCGTACAATCAAATTCATATAAATATCCGCCTTGTAAACGTAAAAAAATTATTTCTGAGTTACAACGCCTTGCTTTATAATTAATTTATCATTTTCGTGACAATCATTTGATAAACAATTTCTTCCGAAGAAGAAAAAACTGAGAGGTAATCATCCCTTACATTACACGGAGAGCATATATTATAACTTTTCTTTCATTGCAAATTCTTTTTAATTTGACTATGTTCCGTGTAATATAGGAATAAATCAGCAAGATTTATTTTACATAGCAAATTTTGTTTAGAATATATGAAATGAAAGGACAGTCAATTATTGCAGAATATCAATCTATCCTAGGATACAAGATATCATGCACAGAGAAAAAATCTCTGAGAAATAATAAATATTTATTTAATGAGTACTAATAACACATATCTACTTGAAACTAAATTTTTTTATTTCAACAGAATAAACGATTGCTTTCACGAAAAGCTAAGATGTTCTGAAAGTTTTAAGAAAATGTATATTTTCTTGCTTGAAAAATATTTTTTATTGGTATAAGTAAATATGTTATATAGTACTCATCGAATAAATATTTTTGTTTCTTAAATTTTTTTCTCTCAGTATAATATCTCTCAGTATAATTTTTATTATAAAATTCTTTCTACGTAGCCAAAAGCTAGTGAATATTTACAATGCTCACAACGTGAAATTTTTAATTATTCCAATTAATTAGCTATCGTAAAACAATCGTTCTGCTTCTCGACACAAAGAGCTGATATCTTCGTAATCGTTCGTTATTAACCGGACCTCGCTTCGAAAAACCTCGTCCTCCACGACGGCCGCGCGCCTCAGCGATAAATCATGCGATTCCTGACACAATGTTAGTTTAAAAAGAGCAAGAGGCGGTCTGCCCCGGATGGTTAAGTCCCTCGTAAACAAGTGCACGACGCATTGTTGGCAATGCCGGACGGAACGGGTGCAATAAAGAGCCGCAATGAAAAACGATGTGAACGAGCGACGGCGTTTAAACTGAGACGGCGGTTGCCGTGCCAGTAGCCGATAGTCGAAGGAAAAATCAAACGTCTGAGTGTGCGGTTGCATATTTTTATGCAAGAATGGTGGCGATTCGCCGTGCACGGCATAATAATGGACTGACGCGGGGCGTCAACGTTTTGTTCCGCGCTCGTTCGCCGTGATTTATGACGACCGTTAGGTCGAAGAGGAACCTGCCTACCCGGAATGAATCGCGACTGACGACAGTGCAAGGCCATTATTGATTTACAATTTAGAGTGGCTTCGTAATGAAACGCCACGAATAACGTCGATTCGACGCGACCGTATCCTCAGCTGAGAGACATGATCCCGATTTATAGAGTAGTTTTCGCCAAACTCTGACCGCTCTATTAATTAATCGACGATTAATTAGCAGAATTTCGAACAGTAATTTCTGATTGTGTAATTTGACGTCCAACAATAACAAAAAAATCATTCTATAATTCTATGCTGGCAGAGTAGAATAAGTGATTGATAACAGATTTAAATATAAGTTAAATTTAAGTATATTTACATACAAGTCAAATAATATTAAGTAAATTGATATATTAAGTAAATAATTAATATAAATTTACTTAAATTTATTTAAATACATTGAATTAAATGAATTGAATAATATTTATGTTTTTCTAATTTCTAAATTTAATTTTAATTTATTTGTATTTTTTTAATTTTAAATACAAAAAAGAGAGAAAAAACACAAAAGAATTTCTTATTTGTTTTAACAACAAACTGTCTTATATTTTCTACTATGAAAACATGTTACTAATATACACAGATTTTTTTTTATTATTGTTGGACGAAAAATCACATGCCTGCAAATTGCTGTTTTATTATTGTTGGACGAAAAATTACATACATTTATTACATACATTTGTGTCTACAAATTGCTGTTGACAATTCTGCCGGTTAATTCTCTATTGGCTTAATCAGAATTTGACGAAAGTCACTCTTAATCACCAAAACGGGAGGCATCTCTATTTATTTAATTTTTGGTGTGTGCAACAAGTGGCATGATTATTGTGACTTTATAATGGGGATTTCGGGAAATTCCTCCAGATCTCTCTCGTCAAGGGAGGCGCCAGACGCGCGCATTTCGCGCGCGGAATTCGCGATCGTTCGTAATATAACTCAGTGCCGACCGATAAACGCATCTGGTCGTTGTTGAAGCTACACACGGAGGAAGGGGCAAAAGATGGACAAAAATAGATCGGAATAAAAACCTCCAACGCCGGGCAATCGCCCGTCGTAAAATCCCGCGGACTTTGTCCCCGGTCTCTCTCTCTTTCTCTCTCTCTTTCTCTCTCTCTCTCTCTCTCTCTCTCTCTCTCTCTCTCTCTCTCTCTC